CATTGTGCCTAACAACTGTTACTGTCCTCTGAATCACTTTCTTTCAAATCTGATTAATCCTGGTACGGTAATCTGAATGAATGTGAGAATAGGACTCTTCCTCATTACCTTGATTGCAAGAAACCATTGAGCAGCATGTTCCTATGTCTCTGGTAAAACGAGAGCCTTCACCAGCCATTAGTTGGTGTTCAGCTATTTCTGTATCAACACCTATACAGCAGCTTTTTAGGTGTCAGAATCATATTCTGCAGCCAAAAACACAGATGCACAGTGATTGGTAAGGAATAAAAGATAGCAGCATCAGTGTAGGTTGAGTAATATGATTCAGTCTGTATTCAAAATATTAAACCAGTTTAACACTATTTCAATAAGAGAAGTCATGTAATTTGGATTTTAATAATTGCGTTTTAATTACTTAAAATTGTTTGAATTTTAATAGTTTGGAAAATGGTTCAATGTTTTATATTTTTAACAAATAAACAAAACAAAACAGGATTGTTAATTTGGTGTTAATGATTGTAATTCGATTTTTTAAAACACGAGTGCAGATTAAACTACCATAAACCAAAGGTATGTCACCTTGACTGATTCCGAACTGTGAAAATTGTGCCTCCTGCCTCCTGTTCCTGGCTCATATTTATTCCCCTTTTCCAGGGTCAACAGTAAAAATGCTATCATATGCTGATTCCTGACAGCCTTCAACCTTATCTAAATCTTTATAGGGAGTGCACATGGAGGATCCTAGTTGAAAAAAATCCAAATGAAGAACACAAGTTCAAAAAATGCAGCAATTGGCTGAAGCCCTCATGAAATTCAAAACATTTGAAGTTAAATTTGCATGTGACACACAGAGTACATGTTGAAATATTACATTTTTTCTGCTTGTATGTCCTGTCATGCAAAGGATTTTGGGCAGCTCTATAGCTCCTAAGCGAGGGATAGGAACCTTTGGAGGTCCCTAAGCTATAGTAAATGAACTATATGAGGCATCCTGCTTCCGATTCCTACCTTCTTCATTACTGACAGCACAGTTTGGACATACTTATCCAGGCCACTGCTGACAATTTGTTAAAATGTCAATTGAACCCCTGTTTTCAGGTAGAGAGATTTGAGTAAAGTGACCTGAACTTATTTTGTTTAGCTTCAGTATGTTTGATCTGATGTTGGTAACCACAGAGGTAAGTCTTACTTACTTTCTGTTGCTTATCGAGAGCAATGTGAAATTAATTTGTCTCATTTTACTGTTTTATTTCCTTCTAAAAACTCCATGCATGCATATATGTTACATCCGGATGCATTTGCTGTGCCTTTATAATTTTGACTTAATGTAAGCCTTTAAAAATGTTTATGGATATTATCTAAAAAAAAGTTATTTATTTAATTTATGTAACTTTGTTGATTGTTGAGGTTATTATCAACCTCTAAGGCATTAACAACCAACAAACATAAAAGACAATGAGTGGAGCATGCAGAGAGAAACAACTCTGCTCCTCTTTTTTCCAAACATTCTTTAGCCGTTTTTTTTTTTTTTTTTTTTTTTTTTTTTACAGGTTGTAACAGCTTCCAAGTTAAAATGTGAAATTGTAATACAAACATAGAGTAACATAGACAACATTGATGTTTTAAATAAAATCAAAAAATATTTTCATATCTCTGCAGATCAAGTTGCATGCATAGAGCCACCTATTCCTTGGATAGGCGCTGCTGTCTATCTCCAGCAGTTAATTTGCAGGGTGTGCCTATGGTTGTTTGCCAGTTCGTCACAGTACAACAGAGATGAAAGTCAGGCAGCCAAGCATGCACACACTAACAACTAAAGGAAATGTTGGAAAATACCCTGGTATACATGTTTGTGGTTTGGTAGTAGGAATCCAAAAGAGGTAAACTAACCAATAGACATGGACTGCATTCAAACTCAATACAAAAAGGGATTTGACTGTGGAATCTTTTTTCTTGTAAGGCAACCATCCTAAAAACTGCAATGCTATGTAGATCGTATCAAGATCAGCAGTTTCTAAGAACAAAAATATTTTTCCTGCGGTGCCCTCAAATGGCCCATATAGGTATTGCAAGAATAAATGTTATGTTTTTATTATCTCAGATTAAAATAACTTTGTTTGTATATAGTTCATATGATTTACAGATACTCTATGACAGATTTAAAAATCACTGCAAGTCTTTAGGTTGATGTTTGTCTTACCTATTTTTTTGTTTTCTCTTTTGTTTTATTCATGCAACATTTCCTTGTTGAACCTGTTCTTCTGGTTTTATTTTGGTTGTTTGTACTTGCTAAACAAATGGTATTTGCTTTCAAAACACCACAGTAAATATCTATATATGGTTTATTTTTATAAAGTCTTATTTCAGTGGAAGACATACTTCTCAAATGACTTACTGGCAGACTTCTGATCTGTGGTTTATACCACTGAACTTAGGAAATGATGAACTTCAAACCACACAGTTAAGTGTTGATGTAACAGCAGATTTTCTGTCACAGAGAAAAAAAGGTGTTAACTGATGTGAGCAAATAGCATAGTAGCATAGCCACAATAGTCTTTCTCTGAGGTCTTGACCGGTAGCAGTCATAGTTTTTCAGGGTCTGGTGTTTTTTTCCCACCACTTTAAGTAGTCAGTGTGGTACAGTAATATGAACCAGTTAGAGGTGAGTTACATAGATCAGATAGAGATACTTAGGGAAGCCAATAAATTCTCTGAACTGCCTCTGGCACCTTTTTATTTGAACTTTCCCAATCCCTGAAACCTGAAACTGAAAGAAACAGCATAACATTAATTCACCTTCTTCTCAGTGTTCAAGATTTTTTTTTTCTATGAGCTGAATTAAGTGGAGTAAGTGTCTTCAGAGGGATTTATATGTTATATCTATATGCTGTTGAGCTTTTGGTTATATAATGTGAAGAAGGCGTATTTCATCCCAATTTTAAAGGTTTTGTGGCTTAAAATCAAAGGGAGTTACTGTAGAACTGGATATAATTAATCTAGACCGCTATTCTGCTAGAGATGAGTGTCCAGCTAAATTTACTTTACAAAACCTTTGAAGAAAAAAGCCAATGCTAAATAACAATATGATGCACAATAATTTGTTTGTCACAAGCTCATTATTAACAGAGGGAGCGAATAAATTGTCAGGAACATACAAAAAACACACTATTACCAAAACATGGTGTTAACAGCAATGTATAAATAACTAGATTTTAGACTGTGTTCAAAGCTGGATAACATCCCTGAACGTACAACCAGAACTTCAATGGACTGGTTTGGATTAAAGCATGCTGTACTTACATGTTTATGCTACAATGACCATGTCAAAGTCTATATCCAAACCCAATGAAAAATATGCGGCAAGATTTAAAAATTCCTTTTAGAGATATTCTTCAAATCTGAGTCTGAAATGTTTTTGCAAAGAATAATAGATAAAAAAAATTATCAAAGGAAGTTGAGTTTTTCAGCTGTAACTGCACCCTGTCTATTACAAATGTTTGCCTGACTCTTTGATAATCAAACAAAAGGATGAATAATTTTGCAATATATATATATATATATATATATATATATATATATATATATATATATATATATATATATATATATATATATATATATATATATATATATATACATAGGTGTGTGTGGGGGTGGTTCATTAATTAAAAGTAACCCACCTTTTGTATATATTTGGCTATTAAATAAACTTATGAAAAAATAAAAAAAGTTAACTGATTTTTAAATATTATTTCACGTTAATGTGGGAAAAAGGTCAGAATTCTGACTTTTTTTCTTAGAATTCTGACTTTAATCTCAGCATTTTGACCTTAATTCTAAGATAAACCTCTGAACTCTGACTTTTTTTCTCATATAATACTGAAATAAAATGTAAAAATCAGTTAACTTTTTTTGTTTTTTCAGTGGTCCTAATCCTCTTCCGTATTAATGTATTGGTTGTATTCTTAAATGGCATTCTGTGGGCAAAAAGGATGAATGACTTTGCAAGACATATACTGAAATATACTAATATATGCATATACTAATATATATATATATATATATATATATATATATATATATATATATATATATATATATATATATATATATAGGTGTGTTTGTGTGTGTGTGTGTGTGGGGGGGGGGGGGGGTTAATTAAAAGTAACCCACCTTTTGTATATATTTGGCTATTAATCCCGTAAAAATTCAAAAAATAACCACTGGACTTGGTTTTCAAGATTTGAGAAAGCTTCCTGGAGAGGTGGCGAAACGTCTTCAAATCTTGAAAACCAAGTCCAGTGGATATTTTTTGAATTTTTACGGGATGACTATGACCTGGATGACTGAGAACCTTCATCAGCATTTGGCTATTAAATAAACTTTTGAAAAAAAAAAAAGTTAACTGATAAATATTATTTCAGTATAATATCAGAAAAAAAGTCAGAATTCTGACTTAATCTCAGAATTCTGACTTTTCTTTCACAGAATTCTGTCTTTAATCTTTGAGTTTTGACTTTAATTGTGAGATTAAAGTCAGAATGTTGAGATTAAGTCAAAATTCTGACTTTAATCTCAGCATTCTTACTTTTTTCTCATATTATACTGAAATACAATGTAAAAATCAGTTAACTTTTTTAGTTTTTTCAGTGCTCCTAATCCTCTTCCGTAGTATTGTATTGGTTGGATTCTTAAATGGTATTCTGTGGGCAAAAGGTTAATATATTGTATTTATATGATATCTGACAGAAACTTGGAGCTAAAAACACCATCCTCTGAGTCACCTATTGTGTTTGAATTTTGAAATGAGTTAGAGATATAAATTAACTTTTACAATTATTTATAAATGCGATATAAGTCTAAATAATATCTCGTTTTCATGATTGCATGCCTTTTTGATTTACTGTATGGGGTAAAAAGTAATTAAAGTAATTGAAATTGACAAAAATATAAATTAGACGTCGCCCTGTGGTTATTTTAGGACTGTGTCGTCATAGGAACCGGTGTTGCGGAAGTGGCCCTCCCTGTCAACAGAGGGTTGAGACCTGCTTGGCTTCCACGAAGAGAGGAAAACACAGGTGTGCGCTCTGGATCCTTAACACTCGCCTGAGCGTGGATTATTGTGGAACATGATCGCATGATCCCTGTCCATCCTGAGCTGGTTGTTGCGTCTGATAGCTGCTGGAGAAGCAGAGAGAGGTGAGAGCAGCGATGGGAACACTGCTGTCCGCACAGGCTCCACAGGAGTATTCTCATCTGTCGAAGAAAACTGGCTGTGAGTAATCATTATTGCTTTCATTGACAAACTCTTCGTTGTTGGACGAGAAGGAAGCATAAATAAGAGATTCTTTAAACGGAAATATGATTTCCAGTCTTATATTAAGGATCCCCAGTAAACCTGACTCTAAAAAACAAACAAGCAGAACTATTTAGTTTAGAGCTCAAACAGCTGCACGTTTATCCGTCAAGTTTGGCGCAGAAATAATGAATTATTCAATGAAAGTCAGGGAAGAGTAACATAATCCTCTACAAAGGATCTTTCATAATGAATTGTTCTGGTCGTTGCTTCACTACTGTTTATTATTACTTTGAAACCTGCAACCTCTGAAGTGTGGTAGACATAGGAAAGGTAAACTGAGGTGCTTTAAATTTTGTTTGAATAATCAAACATTGTGGCTCAGAAGTTTCCATAATTGAATAATGAGCTCGGAATAAAATCTTTAAGTTAAATACAAATTATTTTAAAAATATTGGGGAGTAGTGGCCTTGTGATTAGGGCATAGAGCTTGGAATCCTGAGGTTGTGAGTTTGAGCCCCACTCCCACAGACTGCCACTCTGGCTCCCTGAGCAAGACCCTTAACCCCACACTGCTCCCCCCATGATGGAAGCCCAATGCTCCCCAAGGGGATGGGTTAAATGTAAAGGTAAATTTCTCCAATGTGAAATCAATAAAGTTCTATTATTAAGAAGTGCAGATCTTCTCTCTGTGCTCTATGATTTTCAGTTTCATTGGAGCAGATTGAAGTGCTGCATAAGAGGTTCAAACAGCTGAGCCAAGATGAAGATGTTTTGAGGTAAGATCCACCTTTCTAACTTTTCACTGGTCATCGGATATTTAGTTCCCTCTGAGTACTTTAATTAATCCTTTATAAATAGTTTTCGATGTACAATAATACACCAGCCCTGACCATAGGAGCTTTTTTCCACTGTTACTAAAAACCTGCTTGACAAGCTTCATGTCATGTCGTGTATAAAGAAGTTGCATATAGCAGTGCGTGTAATGTTTTAATTTTTTCCGTTACCCCCTTAGGAAGGAACACTTCAATGGAATCCCGGATCTGGCATGCAATCCCATCAGTGCACAGATCACAGAGGCTTTCTTTGACCAAAGGTACGGCACAATACAGTGATGCATCCTAACTTTAGAAAACATTTAAGAAGGTGTGAACAATTATTATATTCAATTATATTTTCTATTGTCTTATACTAATTAATCATTTTCTTTATTTTAAGGCACAAGAACTATATCTTAGTGCTAGAAAAACATACAAAGCTTAATAATAGGAAGCACTTCCATATATGGTCAATGAGTTACTGTACTGTAAAATCAATCGATTTAAGGAGAACATTTTTTTTTTATTTTTTTTTTGTACTTGACAAATAAGTCAATCTCGCTAAAGGAAAATATGCTAATTACATGTGTTGCTGCAGAGCAGAATAGCCTAAAGATCCTCCGTGCTGAAAACATGGTTTACCCGTATGCAGCTAGCTCACCAAATATACTTCTGATTGGTCACTTATTTTCTGAATAAACAGTCACCAACCACTCATAGAGTGGTCAGTCTTATTGGGCCTGTCCACTATTACTTCAGGCTTGTAGAAATTAACAGAAAGAGAGATTTCTCTCTTTCTGTTTAAATAAAAATAATACACGTAGAAAGGACCCAAAACAAAGTTTTTGATTTCTCTCAATATGTATATATTTATTCATGGCCTGCAGGTAATTTTTTTTGTGTAAGTCAAATGTGAACTGCGCTTTACATGCAGTAACAGCACGTCATAAAGTCCGGCTCCCAGATTATCACATAGTGGTGCAGTGGCTAGCACTGCTGCCTTGCAGCAAGAAGATTGTGGGTTCAAATCTCGGCCCAGGATCTTTCTCCATTAAGTTTGCATGTTTTCCCTGTGCATGTGTAGGTTGTCTAAATTATCCTTTGGTGAGAGTGTGTCTGTGAATGATTGTGTGTCAATTGGTGTATTGTGCTGTGATGGATTGGTAACCTGTCCAGGGTGTATAGAGTTTGTAAGATGGGAAGTGGAAATTCCTTTTGAAGTGAAATTATATGTGAAAAATCTAATTTGCTTATATTTAAATTTCTATACAAACATTAAATCTTGTTAATTTAGTTAAATGTAAGTATATTAGGTTGGTCTAATGTCAATATATTAGTTTGCTTCATCAACTGAAATGTTCAGAAAATCATTTAGAACAGGGCCAAGATTTTAAGTTGTGTCAAGTGCAGTATTATTGTTACATCAACATAATATAATCAGGTCATAACAAGCAATTAAATTCAGATTTTGTCAAAGTCAAACATTTTAGATGTGATATCTGGACATCTTCTTTTTTTTTTTGCAAGGTTATACTTTTCCAGTGTGGTAATCTAGGGAATAGAGAAAACATCAGAAGTGTTTATAAATGTGGAAAGGGGACACGGGAAATACTTCAGTACTGGAAGAATTACTCGGTTTTCCAGAAAAGAATTTACAAGTCACACCTATTAATATTTTTATTTAATAATTTAGTCAAGAGAACAATGAATTCACATTCAAAGTATCTGTTGGGCTGAATGACCAAAGAATACTGATTCAAGATTGTGACCACAGTTTCTTCCAGGATGAAAGGTTTAGTTTAAGTGTGAACCGGCCTTTCGCTCTAAGTTTCTGTTCTCCTGTCTTTTCTAATTTCAACTGAAAGTTTATTACTGACCTTTTTTCTTACTTTGATGCGTCATCATTTAAATGTTTACTGCATGAACTATTTAAACATAACATTCATCAGACCCAGACAGTTTATGGCAACGTTCTTTAAATAAGGTTTGAATCATTGATGTAGCATATTGTTTATTTGAGGAATGATTTCCATTACTTATGCATGGCACTGAGTATATAGTATTGTGTTTGCAATTTAATTATAATTTTTTTGGCATATTTATGAAATGTTGTTTTTGATATTTTGTTTTTCAGAAACTTCTGCAACAATGTTGCTGGTAAGGTGGACGAGATTAGCTTTGAAGAATTTCTGTTGGTCCTGTCTCACTTCAGGCCCCCTTCTCAGCACCTCAAAGAGGAAGATCGGGAGAATGTCAGGAAGGAAAAACTTAGATGTAGGTTTTATTTCAGGGAATCACCCAGACATGCATGACGTTTACCGCTGACTGAAAAGCATAGACCGAAATAAAGTTGCATTTTTCTCTGCAGTTTTATTCAACATGCATGACACCGACAACGATGGCACAATAACGCTTGAGGAATACAGACATGTGAGCCTTTCATAACATGCAATACTCAAACACTTCTCATTGTGAAACCAAGTTAAACACCTAGCTGGAAATTGAGGATTGTTTCTCATTCCTTAACCATGAGGAAAAAACTATTTAATAGGTTAACTATATTGTTGTGGCATTTTTTAAATTCTCCAGGTGGTGGAGGAACTGTTATCTCACAGTGGAGCACTGGGAAAAGAAACAGCCAAAGGAATTGCTGATGCAGCCATGTTGGAAGTGGCCAGTATATCAGTGGGTCAGATGGTAATGAAGTGGTTTAGTGATAATACAATGTTAAGTTTGCTTTATCCCTTGCATACACTAACTCACAAGCTTCTCTTTTAAATTCAGAGACCTGATGAATTTTATGAGGGAATCACCTTCGAACATTTTCTAAAGGTCTGTTTAAAGCTGCAGTTCATTAGTGCTGTATATAGAAAAAAAATTGTGCATCCAGTATTGATGTGTTTTTTGCTTTGTTAGTAACATTTTGTATGATATTAGTCAGCATGTGTTTTTAAAAATTCCACTAGTACTGATTTTAGACAGATTGTGTGAGTTTGAAATGCAAAACTGAGTTGCTGTGTGTTGTTTTTTGTTTTTCAGCTGCTAGCTGGCTTCGAGATCGAATCAAGAATGAACATTCGGTTTTCAAAAAACACATTTACTATGTGCAAGTGAGGATGCTAGATTGAACTAAGAATTGACATTTTTATTTCTTTACCATTCAACATTTATTCTTGTTTTGCACGGTTGAAAAATACTTGCACTAATGGTATATGCCTTATGCATGTGGGAGCAACTATGTAAACCAAAGAACAGTTTGGATTTATTAGAAGTGGTATTAATAATTTTAAGAAACAATGTTCTACTGCTGAATAGATAGTTCAAGCAATAATATTACAATATGAATAACTATGCATGGGGTAATATGGGCTATAAAAACTGTTATTTTGTTAACTGTGAGATATAGATTGTCTGATCATTACATTTCTCTGGGATTTCTGTATGATCACAGAATGGCAGAAAACATGCCCTGCGCTATGTTTACGCAAAAAATACCCATAACATATTTCATTATTTACATTTATTTAACCAAAGAGAAAAAAACACATTTAGTTCAAGTTAAAGCTTTACAAATACTCTTTATGAATATGAATATATGCTTTTGGCTCTAAATGATGTGCATAAATTGTTGCTTTCAGACTAGGGTGAATGTTATAACCGAACCAAGCTACAAATACTTGTTTGAAGCTCTCTTACTGCACATATCTTCAATCACAAGGTTTGCAAACCTGTACCCATTAACACGGTTGTGGCATAATTCTGGTTGGAGATGTGTGTCGACTGTTTTCAGCAGAATGTGTTTGTTTCCTGGCACAGACCTATTTTTATTCACATAAACAGATTGTTAGTGGTCGATTAAGGCCTTTAGAGGACCATCATTGACTTGTCCCTTCCAACTTTATGAGTTCAAACCTGCCATAAACTGGAAGCCAAGTGATATGGTGAACCATGTCATGTTGTCATGCGAGCAATATGCTTCTGCTCCAAAATATAAATCTGTAATGAGCTGCCCACTTAAAAAAGCCCAATACTAGAGAGGTTTTATAGTCAAAGACTTACTCATTCTGCCACAATTATAACCATTATGGCTGATGGGGAGACATTAAGACTCTCAAACTAATGCTATATCCGCTTTTTACAGTCCCTGCAACTGAAAAGTAGATAAAATACCAAAACTACCAAAATATGTGCTTATGGTTTAACTTGTTCAAAGTCACTTATTCATGTGTCGGTTTCAGCATATGTACATATTAAATTTGTGTGTGTGATTTAAAAAAAGGTTAAAGGATTAAAAATAATTCATCATTTAATAAACCCTGTCTACCGAATATAGATATCTAAAGCTAATAAAGTTGTATCACCAACACAACTATGACAAAGAATGCTTCAAAATATAATTAAAGGTAAAATGTAAATGTAACATTCTGCTAATCATGAGAGTACCGGTATGTCAGTTTGGGACTCATCTAAATGGATATCCACTTTTACTGTTGGTTATAATGTTCTACAACTGTATGAGTGGAACAGCAAATGACATAAAAGATCATCCATCTAAATACACAGGCTTGGATATGCACTGTTTAATTTCACAATTCTGATTGATCAGAGATTATATGTTTTGTATTATACCAAGAAATAACTTTTGATTTCTTCTCTATGAGTAAAAATATCTTAAAATATGTTTGCCCTTCACTCTCCATCCCCACAATAAAGGAACATTAACTGTCCTGGTGAAATAAAAAAGTACCAACATTAATTATTGACATGAATGCAGCATTCATTTAAAACAGTGGCTGATTCATTTAAATGTTTTGTCTCTATGGTTGGAAATATACATTGAATGCTTTGATGAATTTCACATAAGCATTATAACAACTTGTATACTATGTCTGTTCTGCTTTATCACAGGAAAAGGTTTGTCTAAAACTGAAATATTCCTTTGAGAGAAAGACCATTTTAGCATAGTGTGCAAATATTTATCAGCATGGTCATCAAATTAAAAATGAGTCATAGAAACAATTTTCCATAACTTGTGGAGAGTGAAAGGGAAAACATTTCTTTTTTCTTTCCACACAGTTTATTGTGGAGTGAATTGTTAGCAGATAGCACCAGTAGTTTGATTTTTCAAACACAAGATAAATACAAGAATTAAAAACAGAAAGAAAAAAAAACAGGAAGTCAGAATTTAAACTGTATGCTGATTGTTGCAGCAATAAGGAAGATGTTGTCATCTTTTCTTCCTTCTACCCCACTTCTTTAGCACCACCATCTCAGTCATAAAGACAAACATGAAATACCAAAATCATTCACAAAATGAGATGCTTATTCTCATAAATATGACTCATTTTTTAGTTACATAATAGTTTTATTGCTTTTAATGTTTTTTTTCCTTTTGAGTTTGACATATACTGCCATCTAGAGGTGAAATCTGGGGATTGTCATGATACGATTGTAACTTAAAGCTCAGTGAAATGCTTTACATTAGGACACATGTTTTATTTGTTTTATGTAAAATGTTCATCCTAAATGTGATATTTCCATAGCTGTCAGTAAAGAGTCATAATGGATAACAGAAATAAAGTTTTGGAAACATCAGTCTGTGTTAATCCACAAAATGTCTTTCACCTAGTAATTTAAATTAGTTCCTAAAATATTTTTTTCAGCTATATTCTAATTCCTTGAATATCATTGAGATTTTTGTGCCTTTTGACCAAAATGGGAGTCTCAGATCAAAGTGTACAAGAATGTACCACACAAAGATCACTATCTGTATTTCACGGGAAGGATTGTTTTTTCTTGTTTTTGTTCTTTTCAACAGCCCTGCATGAAACTCATTTTAATAAATGGACTTAAATTAGGATTTTTCTTATCATACTGCTCATTAAAGGGATTTAAACTATAGCCTCAGTCACACTAAGTAGGTAAGCTGAGGTTAGATGTCTTGCTATGGGCACATCAGCAGGTACAGTAATAGGAAGATGCAGGAACCCACAATCTTGAATAGTAAAACAACTGAGCCACAGCCATGTCCTTTTTTTGTATTCGTATAATTAATTAAACAGACTCACACCAAAATATTAATTCAAAGAACCTAGAGGAGGGACAGAGAGGTCGCTGTTTTATATTTGACTGAAATACTCCAAGGAGGATGGGCCTCTGTGTGCTTCAAAGAGCAGCTTCAAACTACAGGTTGCTCAACCATGGGCGTCAGAATTGACAAATTATTTTGGGTAAGTTTCGAAGGTGTTGCCAAAACATGGTTAAATTCTGGCCGCCCCCTTATTGAAGCTTTTTTTGGTTACCACTATCTGGATGATTAAGAATCTGCAGAGCCTGCATTCCACAAAGTTCAATTCTTGTTTTCATTAGTGAAACAGCTGAAAAAACAAGTATTATTTTCGTTTTACTTTAACATCATATAATATTTTTTGCTGGGTTACTGCACAAAAGTCCAAAAACCTAAAAAAAAAAACCTGAAAGTTTTAATGCAAAAAAATATGGACAGGTTTTATGGCATGACAGAGATAACAGCAGTGTTTCCTTATTTTCCTTAAATTAGGATTTTCTGATCACACTGCTCATTAAAGGGATTTGAACTATAGCCTCAGTCACACTAACTAGCACACTTCAGTAGGCAAGCTTAGGTTAGATGTCTTGCTAGGGGCACATCAGGAGGTAATAGGAAGATGCAGGAAACCACAATCTTGAATAGTAAAACAATTGAGCCACATCCATGTCCTTTTTTTTCTAGAAATTACATACACATTTTAGGAAGTATTCATATAATTAATTAAACAGACTCACACCAAAATATTAATTTCAATAACCTAGAGGAGGAATAGAGAGGTCGCTGTTTTTATATTTGACTGAAATACTCCAAGGAGGATGGGCCTCTGTGTGCTTAAAATAGAAGCTTCAAACTACGGGTTGCTCAACGATATGCCTCAGAATTGACTAATTATTCTGGGTAGGTTTCTAAGGTGTTGTCAAAACCTGATGAAATTCTGGTCGCCCCCTTATTAAAGCTTTTTTTGGTTACCATTATCTGGATGATTAAGAATCTGCATAGGCTGAATTTCCACAAAGTTTTCACTCAGGATAAGATGATTTCAATTCTTTTTTTTTATTTGTGAAAAACAAAGTATTATTTTCCTTTTACTTTAATGTCATATCTTTTATGCTGGTTTACTGCACAAAAGTCCAAAAAGAAACCTGAATGTTTTAATGCAAAAAAACGTGGACAAATTTTATGGCATGACAGAGATAACAGAAGTTTTTCCTTCTTTTCTCAAATGTTGGTTGCAGTATTATCCTATAAGCATAGTTGAAATTGTTTCATACAGAATATATAGCTGGTGCCCTAAGGTGCCCTTAGGCAGAGTTATAACAGGGAACTTGATTCATGACCCAGAGTAAATCCCCATCTACTTCTAGGTTCCTGATAGCTTGTGACTGGAGGAAAGTTGGGCTAAAATTAGAAAAAAGTCTTTGGAAACTATTTGATACAAATATAAGGCACTCACAAGTCTGCATATACTGACTCAAAGAAGCATTTGTGTCCCAAATTTAAACATGTTTTTTTCCCATTCTGCAGAACACACCCATGTATGAGAAACTATATAAAGATGCAAAGCCCCAAATGACACACCGTTAATACATTAAGTGATCTGACCCTCCCAGCAAACACAGACACATCCATAGCCTCTCACACCTTGTGACTGACCAGACAGCCAGTTTCATGAAGTCTTTCCTATCTGATGTGGCCTTGTGTTTAAATCATGCGTCACTTAGAGCTGATATCACAGAGTCAGCGTCTCAGCAGCTTCCTGATTTTCTTTTTAACTCCAGTTTAGGGAGTGATTTTGTATAGAAAAAACCCCCACACATGATTCTTTTTATACTTTGGAAAATAAAAATGACTTTATGAGCCCATAGAAACAATCCAACATAAGGGTGAACTTGAGTTACATTTTCATTTTATTCTCCATGCTGATTACAACCAGACATGGACAACGGTTTACAGTTCTGTGTACAGCAAAAAACATTTAAATTAGAAAACAAGACACAATTAGCCTTTTAATTATATCACACTTTTAGCAAAATTTCTCTTTCCAGGAACACTTGGAGAAAATAAATATTAAATACCATAAATAGGCAATACTATTCTGATGTACCTGCCATCTTCAAACGTAATTATCTTTTTATAAGTCGTTTATTATAAGTAAAGTGCTGCTGGATACTGACCTACAAAGGCCAGCCTCATGTCATGTAAAGGGGTCGAATCAACTTTATCTTGCCCTCGTGCAGACTTTGCTTTTCAGTGTCCTCATGTCTTTTGAAATGTTATTCAGGAGCTTCTTGTAGGTCGTCAGCACCACACAGCCGTATATCTTCTGCTGGAAGATGTTCTGGGGCAGTGGTAGTGTCGTGGGTCCACCTGCCGGATCCGGTAAAGGCAGGTTTGGGAAGAAGTTGTGGTAAAAGTTGTTAATGCGAGAAGTAAGCCTCACGCTGTGATCTCTCACTTTTTGAATTAGATCGAGAAGCAGGCTTTTGGGGGGCTGCAAGTCCATCTGCTGCTCTTGGACCCTCTTCAGGTGAGGTGAGAAGGCTTGAAGCTGTGTGTATATGCTTGCCATCCTCTCTGAGGGTTCCAGCCCAGAGATGTTTGGGTCAGGGATGTCGCTCCTTGAAGCCTTGCAGAAAAGCTGTGCCATTTCTCCTTCGGAGGCTTTCTGTGATAAAGAAAGACAATTTAAAACAAACTAGAAGCTTCATTTAGTATTGTCCAATCACGTGATTGATCAGTTGAAACAGATTAGATGTATGACTTTACTCACATATGCTTTGATCAGATCACCGGTTTGCTTATGTATTAGTCTGGTGAGCTTCTGAGTCTTTTGCAGATCAGAATCACACCCCTGGTTTTTGCCTGCTTCCACAGTTTTTGTTGTATCAACAGCCAGAAGCAGCAGGAAGCAGAGTAATGCTGAGGAGTAGAGAAGTGGTCAGTTATTGTAAATCGTCCTCACGTTAGATGAGAAGTTAATTTACAAAAACTGCAAGTGCTGAACTAAACTCTTTCCCATTCAACACACACAGATTGGAAAAATGACTAAATGAGTACATTTTATGGTTTATCTATGCTTAAATAGAGTTAAAAAAGGTCTGTTACACATATACTTGACCAAAAAGGTAAAAAGGAACTCATTCATGCAGGAAACTGCAAACTTCAGTTAGTTTCACAAGAGCCACAAGTCACTAAAAATAGGTTGCATGATTATAAGAAAAAAGGTCTAATGATGTTTAAAGCTTCAAAGTAAGAAATGTAGTTAAACTTACTTGCTGCTCTTTCCACATGCTGTTGAAAATGCATATTCTTTACATGACCATTCATTCTCCTCTGTGTCTCACAATCAAATTGCGTGGACTCGTCATGATCACACTCCTTTGAAACTTCTTTAGAATAACCCACAGGAAATGACGTGCAGTGAGCCTCATGTAGAGAACGTCATCCTGGTTGATTCCTTCCTGACTAAAATGTCAATTTTTTGTGTTATTATTAATTTCTTTATTTGGGTTTTTTTATTTTTTATATTCACTCTTTTTTCTTTCTTTTTTTTTTTGATGGTGGAAGACAATGCCGAGGCATGCCTTATGTATGAATAGACATGTTGGGGCATTGACCTGTTTCCAAGACATATATGGAATTATGGTTAAAAAGTTGTATGTAAAGTAGAACTTTTGACTGTTTGGGAAATCCTACGCATAGCTGGTAAATTTGTCGCTTCAGAAAATAAACCAGCCTTATATAGAAATTAGGTGTCAACCACCAGAGATCTTGTAAGGACTGTGGTTAGCCTGCCCCTTGACACAGTATTGAACTTTTTTAGCAATGATTGGTGCGTGTGTGTTTTCTGAGCCTAGGTGAGAAATTCTGTTGAAGTTTATTTTCAAACCACTGACTTTTTTTTTTTTTTTTTGCTTGAATTTTTTTTTGCATCAATAGTTATATGTGGCATTCCATACCGGATGCTTGTAGGTTAAAACAAAATGCATTTCGCAATCAGAAACTTTTAAAGTACGTAAAGATGACTGAATCTGCGTAACAAGAGGCAATGAGGCTGAGCTTCTGACAGAGAACATCAGTGAATGAGTTCATTGAGCCATAGAAGAACTTTTTAGGAAACTTGCTCACTTCTGCTTAAAAAAAACAACACCAACTGTGGTTATTGAGAAACCAAATCCTGAAAGCTAATGGTTTGCAAAATACTTTAGCATCTGGCATTTTTCATACTTTTACTTTTATGTGACATACTAACAATGAGTACCACAGACATTTTTAGTTGTCAATCTTTGCTTTTTCTTTATAAACCAGGTCTGAATGGAGAGCATCAGTAACCATTAATGTTAAGTTCTTATTGTAGACTAATTGGATTTCATTCTGTAGGTGTAGTGTTTTCCTGGAAAGTGAACCTCTTCTTAAGTCTCTGTTGGAAATAAACCTGTCACCACATCCTTCTGCTGCCACCACCATGTTTCACAGTGGGGAATGCTGTTATTACTTTGTCTAATTGTCAATATTTTTAGTTTTGGTTTTATCTGACTGGGACATCTTCTTCCATTTGTTGGCTTTGTTCAATACAAGATCTTTGGTAAAATTTAAATTAGATTTTTCTTTTTTTGGAGCCTTTAAAGGCTGCAAGTATTCTATAACTGACCTCTCAGTAATGCTTTGACTTATGCTCTCCTTATCTGACCTGTTAGTTTTCGTGGGCGGCCATGTCTTCCTAGCTTTGCAGGTTTGAATAAATTCTCAATTTTCAGGTAATAGATTAAAGCAATAGTCCTTGAGATGTTCAAAGCTATGAATAGTTATATAAAATGTTCCTTAAAATAAGATTCAAAGATCTTCCTTCCTGCTTTTTGTATTTAAGGATATTCTCATTAGAGCTCTCACAGAATAGCTGCATATGGTGACTTCTGAGAGAAATTGCTGCACTGGATTTTAAGGATATCGGTGGATAACTGGGCTGAAACCATGTACTATATCTGCTTTCTTCTACCACACAGTTATGCACTTTGAGTTGGTTCCTCCTAAATAATTACCTGAATGCTTTTGTTTTGTTAGTTTGCAACATATAGAGTAAGAAATTGAGATTTAAGACTTCAACACATAACACCCTTGCAACGAATGCACCGAAAGTGAAACAGCTTATTGTGATCTGACACGACCTCTGCTAGTTTTGAAAGTATCTGCACTACGGTTTCAGCGCATGAAGGCATGTTTTGGTTGCCAAACCACAAACTACCTGAGAACAGGCAGGGAAAGTCGATGCACCACACCAGTGTTACAATCTCTTCAGGTAAAGAGTAACCACTCTTCATGCCATTACACGGGGGTTTCCAGTTCCCCCGGGGGGTAAAGTGGAGGGGAGAGGCAGACGTCTGCTGCAGATTTCTGTCTCAGAGGTTGACAGTTCAGAGAAACTACACCAAGATTCCTGACAGTGTGTGAAAAACAAGCTTGTATTTGACGATTAAATATAAGTAGGCCTCAAGGTTAAACTCTGCTAATCTACTTCCCTCTCACTGTTCCCATTTTAAGATTTCTGATATGCTTGTTACTTCTGACCCGCAATTATGTTTGTTAAATAAAGAAAAAAGAAAATGAATCAATATAGGTCGCAGCGGTCATTTCCCACCAAAGAAAATAAAGCGTGTGAAGTTTCACACCACATGAAAAAAGCATTGCCAAGAAATTAAACCACACACACTCAGGATTTCTCTGTCAAAAAGCAGGATGTTGAGCGCCGATGCTCCCTTTTTTGTTTGTTTTCAACAAAATCTCTTTTATTTCGTCTTCGAACTGCACAGGAAATGGTGAATAAAATTCTTTAGGAAAGTCCCCTTTATTCTAACTAAATACATCTTTCTAATAACCTAAAATGTACACAAATTGTAAGGTCTGTTTTTTTCTGAAGTTCTCAGTCTAACATACTCGAGCACCTCAAAAAGCACTTTTTCTTTATGGAACAATTTGTCCAAAAAGCTTCAGTTTTGATTCTCGATCAGACAACAAAAAGAAAAGGTTTTACTGCATATGAGACACAGTTTCTTAAAATTTCATAAAGTTCATGAAAAACAAGTTTCCCGTTCACACTTCAGAACTCAGTCGGATCGGTCGCAGTCAGGTTCTTTTGCCACCAGAAACTAAGTGTTATTGGATTCTTTCTGTTAAAATACTTTGTTGATTTATGGGACGTCATCCAGCTTTTCCACCCCACTACCCTCTGTGAAGAACTAATACAGGCATTTGCTGTGGAGAAAAAAAAAATGAAACAAAAACATTCTGATAATGTTTAAGTGACCTATGAAGGAAAAGCATTTTTAAAACATACTCTTCAACACTCGAGATATTCAGTGCATTGGGGGCTCCAAACACGTCACGAGTCTTTAAAAAAACAACTGTGTGTTTAATAAGAGGGGGATGCAAAATGGTTACAAATCTTTTGTGAAACTAAAGTGTACTCCTAAAATAAAATGAAAGAAAAACAGCAAGGCTAAAGGTGGTGTTAGAAATCAAGCACCAAAACATTATCTTTCCATTCACCATGAATGGAATAATTGTGCAACCTGTTCAATGACTATAATGAACATGGTGGATAATATCGAAATCCTCAGTCACAAATAGTTCAAAACCTAGTCCAGACCCACATGTTTGGAGAGTCTCTGATCTTTTAAAGATCATCACAGGGAAATAACAAGAAGTCTGTGGTTCCATTCACCAGCATTTATACAATCTGAAAGTCTAATGGTCCGACTTAGCAATATACCGAACTATTGTATGACCATTTCTCAACATTATAAAAAAAGAAGCAAAAACCTTATCGTTAGGCTCTGATATCAGTAATAGACCAGTGTCTCTGTATGTTCTAGCTATGTTCTCATGTACAAATATTCATATAAAAAATTATACAGCACAGATCTCACCATTTTTCCTTTACAAGATTAGTGAACAATTAAACGATTCACAAGTTTCAGACGAATCCAAAAGAGACAACAACAACAAAAAAGGCAAAAAGAAAAAAAACGGTGCCGGCCTAAGTCAGTTAAAATATTGATATTACAAATTCAAACTAAAACCTGCTTCAGGCACAACTCAAATAAAGGCATTTGTGAAAAAAAAAATCATATCAAATATGGTGCTTATGTCTAGTATCAATAAGCCAAAAAAGAAAAAGAAACAAAAAAAAAAACATGTGCTGTGACCACTTATTTACAAACAGCTAAAATCTCTGACAGGTTCATGCTTCACTTCACAACCTGAATTTGTCCTTAAAGTGCATGCAATAATAAGCAGTTTGAGCGAGTTGGATCTTGAGTTGTGAGAGGATTAAACAGGTCGATCGAGTTGATGCCAATTGTTTCTACATACTGATCAATGGAATCTGTTAGAAAACTGAAGAACCACAGTACAGGATACTGTATGAGTAAGAGCATTATGTATGACCGGTAGGAGAAGGGAAAACCTGTAAAAAAGTATGAGTAAACCCTCAGTATAGCAATATTCACATTCAGAGATTGAAATTAAATGAATACAGCAAAATCAAATAATTCAAAAGAAATAAAAGCAGCTTAACACCACGGGGGAGTCCGCAGTTCACATTCCACAATGTCCCTCCATGTAACACACACAATAAGCATCATATGAACATGATGAGTTTCTAATTAAACATATCAAAGTGCCCATTTTTACTAAAATTTCTTGATTTATTCAATTCATACCAAAAAAGAGGAAATGGCATGGAGGAAAGAGTCTGCTTATCTGAACACATTGAATTACACTAGGTTTGCTTGTTAGCAGACATGTTTAAGGATTCTTCTGTTTTGCTTCCTCCCTCTAAGTGTCTCGGCAAAAGCAAAACAGCCTCTGTTCAAAGATGTGATATCTAAAGTGAGAGAGTGAAGTAGAGTAGCAGAGAAAGTTATCCAGTTTGTCACCATGGATGCAGCGAAAGTGGACATGAGAAGGGCACCGATATGTTGTCCTTTAAAAAGATAGATCCGCTTTCATCTGTTATCCTCTTTAGGGAAGTCCAGAGATCCGAGGCTTCCAAAACCGAGGCTCCGACTCTCTGAGTCAAAGGCGCTGAGTTCTCTGTCCTGACGTTCCAGCAGGTGCTTGATCCTTTCGGTTCGCTCCTTCTGAAGGGCAGCCAGTTCCTCTTCGATCTGCAATCAGCACAGTTGTTATTTGGTTTAAAGAAAGGTAAAACATTTAGGCATATTTAGAGAAATTAGTTAGAAATAGGATTAAAACTAATAACACAGCTTGCAGATTTATTTAAAAATATATTCTTTCCACCAAGATAGTTGTTTCCTATAATAAATGAGGCACATATCTCTTAAAGGACAATATGAAAAGGGGTATTGATTTTCTAGTAAATAAATAATATATTTCTATATTCTATCAAATAAAAGAAGGGATGTCGAAAATGATCTATAACATTTTCATTATTCAATGGAAAGGTCTTTACTGTCAGCATTCCATTAAAACCCTTCTTTTAAATGCCAAATGGAAAAGCCCTACATATTTGACAAAGACTTCAAATTCTGTGCAGCTTGTTCTCAAAACAAAGTGCATTTTTTATTTCGTCCTCTCCTTTATCATAAACTCCCTTGGATGTTATTTCGGAAGGGCCAAGAACTGCCGGCTTCACCCCTCCCCTACCTGCGGACAACTGTGGATGCGTTCAGAATTCACTCAGACACACAATTCAAATACCACATAGATTCAAATGTGACACCCAAGCCTCCAATGTTTTTTTTTTTTGATATCTCAAACTGTACCCTTTCAAAGATAAAATGTGAAATATGCCTTTTTGCCCTCTCCCTTCCCAAATATGGCTCCAACCTTCCACAGAGATCAAAGGAAACCGCGTCACTGTGGGGCCACTGAAAGCTGAACGAATGCACCTAGCGGCAGCATTCTTTGGCGTGCGTGGCCTCAGTCAATCGCTCCCCTATAAAGATTGATTGATTGGTTGATTGATTGATGTTCTCATGAATCATAAATGGCCATAGTACTGCACATACAGTATGTCCTCCTGAAAGGTTTACTCCATCCCCCCCCCCCCACATTATTCAACCAAATATGGTTTCCAAATGTGTTTTTTTTTTTAAGACAACAGCAAACCTGGTAACAAACTCTGGAATTTGGACACCTTTACCACCAGTCTCAAGTCCTAAAGCAGGTAATTCCAGCAGTATAAAGGAGCGTGAGTTTTCCACAAAAGTACTTCGTCACTTCAATTTAAACCAAGATGTCTGACACTTGATGTTCTTGATTCTCAATTGATGCTATAATACGTGACCACCAGCCTTTTAATTCTCACAAGGTAGCTAAACTGTTTAAACTGCTATAAATAGTTTTTACAGAGTAAAAAAAAAAAAAAATTCAATGCCCTGATGTCTTGATAATAAGAAGGAAGACATCTGAAATCTCAATGAAAAAAAAAATACCAGGAGAAAGTTAATGACTTAAACAATAATATTTAGTCTTTTGGGGAGCGTGTTCCTACTGCTGTTATAAAAAAGGCAATGATATTATTTTATTAAATGAGATAACTTCAATTAATTTTTGAACTGTTCAATGTGTTTCTATTGACAAGCATACCTTTAATCCACTTTTCAAACTGGTTGAGTTTTTTTTTTTTTTAAGTGAGTAGATTTTTTTGTAATTCCAACAGCAAAGCTGACAAAGCAGACTTCAAAAGTTATGGTGACGTTGAGTATTTTTTGTCTTAGATGTCACTTCCCCTGCTCACTTTCCTTCGTGCGGTTCCTGTTTTTAGCAGCTCTAATTCCACATTTTCGTAATCATTTGCTAACAGGGCATTTGACATGTGCCGGCATATTCTTTCTATGTAATGGACTGTCAGTATTAATTATTTTAATGTTTCCATTGCTATAGTTGTTTAGCAGCTGGAGACCTGAAGCCATTGTTTTCATTGGAACTCAATGTAAGAAATGTTACTCTTTCTTCTTTTAAGTTATGTTTTTTTTCTTAATTTTGCAGGCATTTCATACAGAATTCTCCTGGAAGCCAAACACTGAGCTTCAATTTGACTGAATTTTAAACCTTAAATTGCTATAGTGGTCATTTCTCACTTTTTGCCTGAAAAGCGTATGAAGTTGTTGCAATGATGTTCTCAAAGATTACAGAAGAGTTCAGTGGCTTTAGGCCCTGCTGAAAGAACACTACTCAAAACCATCAGGCTACCACCTCCATGCATCACAGTATGAAAGTCTGCTCTCATGTCACATTCGTTTTTTTCCACTTTGTTCCGCTCTGTTATTAGGAGAAGAGGTCCTTTTTAGCTTTTCCTTTTTCCTTTTAAGCTTTTTCCTTTTAAGCTATAGTCACAGCTGCTACAGAAGTGAGGCTGTCATGAACTCTAAATAGAAAATGCAGCTACAACTTAAACGAACTGCTTCAATTGGTAATTAATTTAAGTTTTCAACGTATAAACTTTATAAATTAAGTTGCATCAACTTGATTCAATTACTTGTTACCAATTGAAGCTGTTCATTTAGGTTGGAGCAGCATTTTCTTTTTAGAGTGTTAGGTTTAAATATGTGCTCTGCTGTGGTGGCTGTTGCTCTCAATGTGGCTCAGGGGTGTTAAATAAATCAAAACGTCATGTTTTGCATAAACAAATGTTGAAACATATACCGGTAAAACACACGACTACAATGCGTGAAAATAGCTGTTGCAAAGCAAGGGTTCAGAACAAGATGGATGTTTTGACTGAATGATCACTTTTTCATCTCGACTCATGAGGAAAATCTCCTCACTGCCACTGTCAGTAAAAAATCGTTGCCAATGTTGGCAATGTTTGCCAATCAGCATCTAGAAGCCAGCTTCACAACCCACCCCTGCTCCATAGACCTCTAAGTGTTTTAGCCTCCAAGGAAGTGAAGTATTTTGGCATGTTATCCAATAAGGGCTCTACATTCTCACTGCTTACCTTAATAGACAGAGACTCAAACCTCAACAGGAATTTCTTAGAGAGTCTGACCGGCAGTACCCTGCTGCTCCAGACCAGAGGGGAGATTCCATCTGAGAGCAGGCTCAATAGCCTAGTGGTTAAGGCATAGGGCTTTGAATCCTTAGGTTGTGAGTTTGATCTCCCACAGACTGTCACGCTGGCTCACTGAGCAAGACCCGCAACCCCACAATGGCACCTGGGTGCCGTGCAATGGCAGCCCACTACCCAATGGGTTAAATGCAGAGATTATTACAAATTAATAAACTTAAAAGATAAATAAAATTAAAAATAACAAAAAATAAATACAGGTGACCAAAATTTTTAGACAAAACTCAAAAGCATATGTGTAATGCTGGCCAATAGAAAGTTCTTGCAGCAATACAAACAGTATGTCAGGTTTGTGCATCCAATCGCTTTCAAATAATTACCAAGAACAACACATGTGAATTTTCTTTTTTGATATTTCCTTCAAAAATGTCAGTCTCCCATCGTGTATGCACCCTGCCCTCAATCCGAAAAACAATTCTAGAATGTGAACTCAACCTATTGTCTTAATAAATGCATCCACATACATTTCCAAAACATGTATGAAAACTCGAAACAAAAACAAACCGAAGGTTGTGACTTACGTTGTGTTTAAGCATGACGTAGGTAAACACCACACTGAAGTGTAAAGACAATCTATTTCCACCATCTACTGGGCTGTTTTGCAACTAGTCGTGTCCCAATTCTTAGGGAGAAAATCTTCACTTGCACTTCCCTTATTGAGTTGACCTCACTGTGGAGGAAACTCACAGGAGTGTTCTCAGAGCCAAGTGAGAGAAATGGGAGTGCATGTTGAAAAGGGTGGAATTAAAATTTTATATTGAAGTGATTAAGCACTACCAAAATATAATATCACTGCTTTGTAGCCAACTTATTTGCTGGAATTAGAGAACTTCAATAATAATACTCTTGTTTTTTAAACACTAACCTGGCAAGTTTTATATACACTGTCCAACGTAGCTGAAGAAATGCGCTACATCATATTCAGCTGCAGAACAAATGCACATTTAGGATAAATATTTAAGTCCACGAGAAATTAGTTTAGGGGAAAACCTGCTAAAATGCTATCAGCATGTGAGATCATGTTATTAAGCATATTACTGCTGCTATAATCGTACTTTTTGTTCAAGGTGTGCTCTCCGAATAGAAACCTTCTGCTCAAGTTTTTGCAGCTCTCGTTCATGTTGGGACTCCATCTGGGACTTGGTTTTTTTCTGGTAGGCATCTAGGAGCTCCATCTCTTGTTTGAGTTGCTGCTTCAGAGCTTGGACCTCCCCTTCCTGCTCTGCTTCTAATCGCATCTGGAAAATTATAAGGTTGAAAACACACAAAAATTCATTACCAAGCTTCCACTAAAAAAATGGCCAATAGCTCAACAAAGCAGAGAAGAACAATGGTTATCCTGAAATCTGAATATGTTCTTTAAAGTAATTGTACCGCTTGAGAGGCCATCAGTTCATTGATGCTCTGTTCGTACTGCTCTGCCAGTACAGCCAACTTCCGTGTCTGCTCCTCCTTCAGGTTCTTCAGGATTGTTTTATGGTTGCCTTTAGGAGAAACTTCCAGCTGATGGTTCCTAAGGGCCTTGTACTGCTTGTTCTGCACCTTGCAAGTATCCTGAAACTGTTTTTTGATCTGCATCTCCAGGGTCTGTGAAAAGAAATGAATGATGAAAATCACAAAAAAAAATCGAATTAAAAAGAGGTCTTTGCATGGTTTCAGAGATGTACAGAATCAGAAAAAAAAGAGATATTGATAAGATGAAATAGAAAATAAAAAAGTGAACAGAACTTCTGGGACACCTTAAGGTTTCTGGGCTGCTGTCGCTGCTCCAGTGTGTGTTTTCTGTGCAGTTCTGTCTGTCGTCGGCTGTTGTACTCCTCCTGGTTTTCTAGCTCGGTCTGATGCTGCAGCCTCAGGAGTTCCACTCGCAGCTTCTGAAGCATCTGTAGCTGCCTGTGCTCCAGGTCCTGGGTGGACTCATCCTGCCGGATCATCATGGCATGTTCCATCTCCTTCTGTGTCCTCTTCTTGTTCAGCTCCTGAAACAACATGGTTTTGTGGAGATGTGTACTGTATTTCTGCTTTACTTTCCATTTTATTATTCATAACATTACATCTCATATCCCATGGTTTTAAATCTGTACCCTCTTTAGAAAATGACAAAATCCTACATCTTTTAAATATGTTTTCTCCTCCCATTGCTCCAAAACCTATTTCGAGAATATTCCATTCAAAAATAACTTATTGATCCTGAAGGGAAGCTGAATGATTAAATATTAAATGAGAGCAGCTGGGTGAATGTGCTCCAGTGTGATGTCACATTGCTACATACAATTAGCTCATTTAGCATCTTCTGTGTATATTTTGTTTTAAGGTGTAATATCTTCATTAAATTTAAGTAAAGATGCTCCTAAATTTGACATTCCACATAGACGAGCACCATCACCTACCGTTATATGGAGCTGTATTATCAAAGCTGGCCCACAGGTATATAAATAAATGAGTTTTAAATACAGATTAGAACTGTATGGACTTCCCTTTACCTCTTAAATTGATGAAAGTAAATGTCCCTCAACTCCCAGGGGCTGTTTTTGGGCTCACAGATAAACAGATGCTTAACAGAACAAACACTTTGTGGAGAACACTGATCAAAGTCAGCAAATCTGTCGTTTCTAAACTTCTCAGCATCCAGATCACAAAATAACAGCATGAAAGACCATATGACCCCTAATAACAATTCAGTATACGTACAATCAATGCAAGCAAATCAATCTAACGTGTATAAAAAGAAAAACATTGAAGAATATTATTGTTAATAATTGGGGAAGTACAGTTTTTTATGTGCTTCTGCAATTTTAGCATAAAATCCTTTTACTATCATTCGTCATTTTAGGAAGATCCCATTGCTCCAAATTAAGGTTACTAGCGATTATTTTGCAAATCGATTAATCTGCTAATTATTTTTTTTTCGATTAATCGGTTTATAATAGGATAGCCAAAGGTTCCTTAAAGAAGTTACGAAATTAAACCTGGTTAAATAAAACGCTTCCTCTTGAAGAGTAGTGGATAGAACATATTGACAGACAAAAAGCATTTTTGCATCTTAAATTCATAATTTTTATATATTTTTTTACAATTTTGATGTAATTACTGCTCTAATTGGGTCGCTCTGTCAGCTAATTGCATGGTTTAGAGTCTCTATGCTCTATGCTGGTCTGGAATGGATATCCCATGCAGGGCTTATCTAACCATCTGCATCAAAAAGCTGCTGAGTAATCTGTCATGGGTAATGGTTAAAACTGAACAATTAACTGCATTTGCAGAATAATTGCATTACTGTAGGCATGACACAAATTTCCAATTGCAGGGGCACCCAATTTTAGTCACAATGCGTAAGACACTCTCTAGCTCCAGCCCTTTAGGTGGCACTAATACACCTAAATCATGTTTGCTGCCACAAAGATGGGAAGAGAAAATTGAAGCCACAGATCTGTATTTATTTAATGGATAGCCTATAGGTCTAAAAAACTGAAGTATATATATATATATATATATATATATATATATATATATATATATACACTATATTGCCAAAAGTATTTGCTCACCTGCCTTGACTCACATATGAGCTTAAGTGACATCCCGTTCCTAATCCATAGGGTTCAATATGACGTCGGTCCACCCTTTGCAGCTAGAACAGCTTCAACTCTTCTGGGAAGGCTGTCCACAAGGTTTAGGAGTGTGTTTATGGGAATTTTTGACCATTCTTCCAGAAGCGCATTTGTGAGGTTGCACACTGATGTTGGACGAGAAGGCCTGGCTCTCAGTCTCCGCTCTAATTCATCCCAAAGGTGTTCTATCGGGTTGAGGTCAGGACTCTGTGCAGGCCAGTCAAGTTCATCCACACCAGACTCTGTCATCCATGTCTTTATGGACCTTGCTTTGTGCACTGGTGCACAGTCATGTTGGAAGAGGAAGGGGCCAGCTCCAAACTGTTCCCACAAAGTTGGGAGCATGGAATTGTCCAAAATGTCTTGGGATGCTGAAGCATTCAGAGTTCCTTTCACTGGAACTAAGGGGCCAAGCCCAGCTCCTGAAAAACAACCCCACACCATAATCCCCCCTCCAACAAACTTTACACTTGGCACAATGCAGTCAGACAAGTACCGTTCTCCTGGCAACCGCCAAACCCAGACCCGTCCATCAGATTGCCAGATGGAGAAGCGCGATTCGTCACTCCAGAGAACGCGTCTCCACTGCTCTAGAGTCCAGTGGCGGCGTGCTTTACACCACCGCATCCGACGCTTTGCATTGCACTTGGTGATGTATGGCTTGGATGCAGCTGCTCGACCATGGAAACCCATTCCATGAAGCTCTCTGCGCACTGTTCTTGAGCTAATCTGAAGGCCACATGAAGTTTGGAGGTCTGTAGTGATTGACTCTGCAGAAAGTTGGCGACCTCTTCGCACTATGCGCGTCAGCATCCGCTGACCCCGCTCCGTCAGTTTACGTGGCCTACCACTTCGTGGCTGAGTTGCTGTTGTTCCCAAACACTTCCATTTTCTTATAATACAGCTGACAGTTGACTGTGGAATATTTAGGAGCGAGGAAATTTCACGACTGGATTTGTTGCACAGGTGGCATCCTATCACAGTTCCACGCTGGAATTCACTGAGCTCCTGAGAGCGACCCATTCTTTCACAAATGTTTGTAAAAACAGTCTGCATGCCTAGGTGCTTGAATTTATACACCTGTGGCCATGGAAGTGATTGGAACACCTGATTCCAATAATTTGGATGGGTGAGCAAATACTTTTGGCAATATAGTGTATATATATATATATATAGGGGTGATGCTGAGAAACTAGATGCTGAGAAACTAGTCCATGCATTTGTTACTTCAAGGCTGGACTATTGTAATTCTTTACTATCAGGAAGTCCACAAACTGTAGTTAAAAGCCTTCAGCTGATCCAAAATGCTGCAGCCAGAGTTCTAATGAAAATTAAAAAGAGAGATCATATCTCGCCTATCCTGGCTTCTCTTCATTGGCTTCCTGTTAAATCAAGAATAGAATTTAAAATCCTCCTTCTCACATATAGAGCCTTAAATGGCCAAGCTCCATCTTATATCAGAGATCTGATTGTTCCTTATGTTCCTAACAGAGCACTTCGCTCTCAATCTGCAGGTTTATTAGTGGTTCCTAGAATTTCTAAAAGTAGAATGGGAGGCAGATCTTTTAGTTATCAGGCTCCTCTCCTGTGGAACCAACTACCAGTTTTAGTCCGTGAGGCAGACACCCTGTCTACTTTTAAGGCTAGACTTAAAACGTTCCTTTTTGATAACGCTTATAGTTAGGGTGGCTCAGGTTATCCTGAGCTATCTCTATAGTTATGCTGCTATAGGCTTAGACTTTTGGAGGACATAGGGACCCCAATTTCATCATTCTGCTTCATTCTCTCTCTGTTCTCCTAACTGCAGAATCTGTTAGTTCAATCTCTAACGTTCTGCTCTCTCTGCTTTTCCTCAGAGTAGCTTTGCCTCGTCTGTTCCTGTTTGGCTGTGACGTCATCCTGGAAAGAAATATCAGCTGTGCTGCTTCCATCAACACCCTTGTTTATAGATGTTGGAGATCGGCCTGTTTTCCAGTGTGGTCCTGTTTCTCTGACCGTGACTGGCTGGATGTGCTCTCTTCGTCCTCTGGCATGGGAGCTGCCTTGGAGCTTGTCTGCCTGGCTGTGTGTTTCCTGGACGGGGCCGCCTTTTACAGCTGCTTTTTGTATCTCTGCTTCTGTCTCCTTGAACCCCAGTCGGCCTCGGCAGATGGCCGCTCACACTGAGCCTGGTTCTGCTGGAGGTTTCTTCCTGTTAAAAGGGAGTTTTTCCTCTCCACTGTCGCTACAAGCATGCTTAGTGTGAGGGATTGTATTTGAGTTGATGCAATCAACTGGTTTTCCTTAGATAGAAAACTTTGTATCAATTTGACTGTATGATCTGGTTGAACTGTAAAGTGCCTTGAGATCACATGTGTTGTGAATTTGGCGCAATATAAATAAACTGAATTGAAATTGAAATTGTATAACTCACTGATCTCTGTGAATATATATACAGATCAGTGGTCTAACCATGGAGTACCAATATGGCGGTTGATGACTTCACAGCAACGTGTACTAGCAACGGTCTATTACCTATCCAGTGAATAAATAGATATTAGTGGTTGTTGGTAGTAAGAAGATCCATACATGATAGAAGAACTATTTCACACAACGGTTTTCGTAAAGTCCTTCAGTAAAGGACTCTGGACAAGCAAGCTTTCAAGGTCACAAAAAACTGAAACCCTGGAGTGAAATATCTACATGCTTGTGCTTATACTGAAAAGGAAATTTGTAGTTAAATCGCAATTAAATTTGGTTGCCATTCAGTCCTAGTTATGGTAAACTATTTTTAAAAGCCTATGACCACTTCGGCCTGGGAACATCACATAAGATGAACAGCAGTGTTAACCACATTATCAGAACAGATCCTCAAGCAGACATAATGTTATGCCTGATATAACATACTGAATTCTCACTAAAACAAAGAACGCAGGACTACAAAACAGCCTCCTTAAGCATCATGATAGCAGGTTGGAAAGAACGTGAGAGATAATAGAGAACCACAACCCTTTTTAATACTTTGAATTTCATAGAAAAGCCAAGAAATCCCCCCGTAAAACAGCTTAATCTGATTATTTCATGACACCTTCTTTTAAACAAATTCTATAAAAGCAGAAGAAGGAAAAGCCTTTTGAGTTTTCACATTACCTCTCTTAACTGCTCCTGTTCAAACTCATGCCGTCTGATCAGGCTCCGGCGTTTGAGGGCCCGACAGCTGCGATCATAGACCAGCCTCTGCTGGGCCAGCAGGTGAGCTTCCTCCTCAGCCTGGGAGTGCTGCATCGTTTCTTTATACCTGGACAGTCGTTCCTGTTTTTCCTCCTTGGATGCACAAGTATCCTCATTCATCTCCTGCAAAGCAGCACAAACAAGATTAAAGGTTGACCACATCAAAGACATCTTCTACGGGACTTTTGAATAACTTTGTGAGAATATTTGGAGATATTTACATCCTTGATTTTGTCTTTGCAAAGCCTGTATTCCTTCTTCTGATTCTCCAAGAAACCAGTCAGCTCTTTCTTTTGTTGAGCGACAATTTGTTGCTGTATTCTCCTCTCCTCTGCTGCAACTGATTTCATCTGTGAAGAAAAAACATGTTTGTACAAAGATATCAATTAAAAAACATGTTAGTTTCTTGCTAATTCATAACTAACTGCTGCTGAAGCTTTACCTCTTTGTCCGTTTGAGCAACATGGCGTTTGACCAGCCGTTCCAGCTCAATGTAAGTGTTGTTCGCATGAGTTTCTAGTTCCTTCTGCAGCCTGAGCATGTGCTCATCCATCTCGGCCTTTAGCCTGTTCTCCAGGGCGATCAGCTGCTTCTGGTGCTGTCGCCGCATGCGCTTATACCCAGACATCTGCTCCCGCAGCTCAAAGTCCTGCTCATGCTCCTGGATCTACCTGATGCCCTAGACAGATGAACCGAGGATGGGGAAATAAGCTGAGCAGGCAGAAAGGAGACACAGCTTGGTATAAAATGGCAAAGTAAAAACTTAGAAACAAAGCTGTCACATTGATGTAACAACAAAAATAAAACACGCAGAAAGTAGCCCATTAGTATACATGTGCAAAGCCTTAAACTAAGATTTTTTTTGGGGGGGGGTGCTTCAGCTGTCAGTCTTTTTTGAAGGCATCAATCAGCATCTCATTTCATTCCAATCTAACAGAAAAAGTAACTTCCTGTAAGAGTTTCAGTCTCGTCTTTCTCAATGTAGAGCAAATATTCAGTTTTTCTCTATTGTTGATTGACAGGGCTGTAGCTATTTTCTGATATTCTCCATACTGATACTTTAGGCCAATGAGCTAAAGCTGGCATAAGCTAAAAGAAGCAAATAGGTACATTTGATAAAAATGCTACTAAAACAGATAATCTTTGTTTTAGGTCAGAGCTGAAGGTAAAATGTGCTTAACCAAATGTTCCTTTTTGCACACACACTCAAACAGGTTTTTTGAGGTTATTAAAGTGTGATCTAATAAACAAAAATTTATAAATGTATCTTCTAAAAACAATAAATATGACTGATCATGCTGCTAGGTGGTTTGCAAGAGGAGAAGAAAGTACTCACTGTTGTAAATTCATGAGCTAATTAACTGGATAATATTACCACAATAAGAAAATGTTGGTGTTTAGACAAGAAGGGGTCTTCAGAATATTGTAAACATGGATTTATTACCTACACTGAGCGGTTTTGAATTGAATGGTCAAATCAGTTTAGCAGAATTAAATTAGTTTTAATTAAAGTTTTAAAAAGTGAGTGAAGCTTTCTTGTGTCTTGAGCATTGAGTGAATGTTTTTGTTTGTTTTTTTCTTGTCATTTTCCTAAGAGTGCCCAAAAGTGATGAAACAACACAAAGTGGTACATACTTGTGACACGGTAGGAAAATAATCAACAATTATTTTTTTTAAACAAAACTCTTTGAACTCAAAATATATGCTCCAGTGCACCCTCTATGAGTAAATACATATTTATGTAAATAACTGTAGCCTATAGATGTCCTCAAAAGTTTGATAAAGATCCCAATAAACCTACTCCTATATTTTTTTGAATAAATAACGTAAGACCGAGCAAGTATTTTCATGAGGCCTTGCTAAAAAGGCTACCCTCATAATCATACATTTGTGCTGTTTAAATTATTTAGAGAACTACATACTATATTCAATAAATGGGTTGGTTGAGCAGTTGATATTTATCTGAAATTACATCTGAAATCCTAGATGACTGCAGAGGAAATGTCTTCCCAATAAAAGATTAACACAAATTCTTATAAGAGCAGGAATTCAGTATTAGTCCTGTATTGATAAATTAACTTAAAAGTAGGAGATTCTTCATGGTAAAACTTCTGACACCATCTGGTTTAGAGGAGAACTGGTTGTTTCAGGAGCTGGTTGATTGGCTAGGGAGCCATGGTCCCTCTAGACACCCTTCTAGATCCACCCCTGCTTCCACCTAAACTGTAAGTTGGGCAAGGAGTCTCTTTCATTAATCCTCTCCTTGAAGGAGAGGATTAATGAAAGAAGCAGCCTAGAGAACCATGGTGAATATGGAGGAGTTTCAGCCATTCATACTTCAGTCTGAGGTATCTGTTGACTGGGATCTCTCTTAGTAGTGCAATAACCATATATGACCTTAAGAAAAGTGGCAAGAGTAAAACAGTTGATTTCTCCTGCGTATTTGGTTCATATCATTAAAAGAACGTAAAAAGAGGCCCCATTTAAAGGCTGCAACAAGTTATGTTGGGATCACTGTAAAAAGAACTGAAGGGAGTTTGACTAAATGGGATTTGTTTTTGTCTTCATACAAATCCATATTTGTGAAAGAAACCCCAAGTCCCTATAGTGGTTTGGTGAAGGCATCATCATGCTGTGGGGTATGTTTTCATTGGCTGAGAGAAACATATTGGACTCAATTAAAGGGGATATAAAGGTAAAGAAACCTAAAGACAAACCCTTCAGCTAGAGGTATTTAAATCAAATTTAGAATGAATGGGAGAACTTGAAAACTGATGGCCGAAAATGTCTAGATTTGGAAAGGTCTATTAGGCACCGACTCAGTGGAGCTGAACAGAAATGTGCAAACGAGGTTTTTAGATTTTTATTTCTACATGGCTTTGAAAGCCAAGTACCCCCCCCCCCCCCCACACACACACACACACACACACACATTAAAGAGCCTCACTGTTGCATTTCATAGGACATTCCAACTAGAATAAATGTGTATTTTATGTCAGATCTATTACCATTTTTATTCTCTCCTGAATGTCAGATTTCATGATGAAAAATAGAGAGAAGACAATGCTTATCGAGACAGATCTTTTACAATGAGGACAGCAGAAATATATAATATTATAATGATAAATTATAAAGACTCAAACAATTGCAACTAGAAACGCCAGGCGGATATTTGTCCAACAAATGCAATCCACACATACACCAGGAGGCAGAGGGGACGCTGAAGATGGGGAGGGGAGAAAAAAAAAAATGACATCCATTAACTGGATCTGGTTGCCATGACTACAGATGTACAGCTGAGAACACAGACACTTATGCGCGCTCGTGCATGCACGCGCGCACGCGCACTGGAAATTTTCATGCAAACGGCGGAGCAGCGTACCAAAGGTGCTGATTTGATGGTGGTGATGTGTTCACAGATCTGGCAGTCAAGAGACCGACTCTAGTTAGATGTAGGCCGCAGCTCTGGCCTGGCGTCCCTGTGCACGGCCTCATCCCTCACGCAAGCATGGTCCTGCAGGGGGGGAGGAAAAGGAGGAGATAGTGGGGCTGGGTGCTTCCCAGGCCCTCCGCGCTCGTTGTTCCCGCTGGAGCCGCTGTCAGTGCCGAATCTCCCCGAAAGCAGCACGCATCCAGCGTTAAATGCATCCTTTCCCCTGTTTGCTCCCCGGCTACTGCGCGCAAGTCCTTCCTATGAGAGAAAAGGGCATTGCCAAACCAATTGCAGGCAACACCAAAAGGGGCAGCCTCTGGATGTAGTCGTTCTCTCTGGCGTCCCTCCTCTTGTAAAATTAGAGGAATCAAACGGCTACGCTGGATGAGAGCGAATTATGCAATGCCTACCATTGATAATCAGAAAGATACCTCCGAGATGTATCTTCCTGACACTCTTCTTTTCCGTTTCAAAATGCAGGAGATATTTGGGAGGAAAGATGGTTTCCCTGTCTTCCTGTGATCGAATGTGGTACCATGTTGAAACACTCTTGATTCAGATAAGGCACATCCAAACATGATTTTTCCACAAATGTGGCGTTCAATGTTCCCCTTGTATTCCACTCGAATTTCTGCCCTACATTTACAGCGCACTTGGTCATGGTAGGTGGTTCTGGTGCCTTCTATTCATCTCTTTCCTCTGTCCATTTCCTTACACTCCCCCTTCCTTTAAAGAGACACAACACTAGAGACTCATCTCAACAAGGCTGAGGTAATTTCTAAAGGGATGCAATCTTTTTCTTTTTTTCTTTTTTACTATCATCATCATGTCAGCCATCTGTAATATAAGAATAACACCCACTGTAAGGGATCTGCAGTATACAACATTTATTACACATTATATGATGTAACATCTTTTCCTTCTTTTTCTTTGAGGCAGAATTGAAATCTATGTATCCCCAACTATTGTTTAAATAGGTTTATTATTTCAGATGAAACAGTTGTATCATACATATTTTTAAAATGATGGTCCATGATTAAACACAAATATGATCATTTATTGCTTAAATGTTTGCCGCATTGCACAAATGAATAAGCAAATCATACATATGATGTGTGTCACAAGCAGAGCAGTGGGATCTAGAACTGTTGCTCTTTTGAATTCCTTTAACCATTGGCTGTGCTGCATATCCAACAATATTTGCACAATGGAAAAAGTGATCATTTATTATGGCGTTGTGTTTTTAATACTCATAGTATTCCGTTTTTGTTTATTTGCCAAAAGGAGGTTGCTATTTACTTTAGCTACAGGGACTTTATCTCTTTAATCAGTGCCATTATTTAAATAAAAAAGAACAATTTTGTCAACCTGCATTACTGTACAATAATTCGTCATATTTTATGACCACCAAACATTGTGTTATTGCAATTTTTGCAAGCAAAGTGCCTGTTTCCAGATGTTGAACTTTCACTTTTTAATTTGCATAACCTATATAGAGGGATCAAAAAAATGTTTTCCAGAAAAATCCCAAAAATGCTGCACTGATTAGGATCCGCAGAAGCTGGTGGTCTCCTTGACTTTTTTTGTCTTATAGCAGGGTGTAATATCTGAATAAAGGGAACCGCCTGTGCTGCCATGGAAAAAACTGCCATGCTTCGTGTATTCTTCTTATTAGACCTAGCATTGTTAACAAGAGGATTGCAGCTGAATCGACTCAAACTAGACATTCAATACTCCTCCTGTTCATCAGTAAGCCTTACAAACCACGATGCATCTGCAAATGTACCACTGTTCTTATACTGATACTCACCACTTCAGATCAGAAACTTAAGATTTGCTGCTCTTATGTTTTGCTTTGGAACCACATATATAACTATGAACCACCTTTTAAATATTAACTGCTTTTACAGACTAATTCAATACCATTTAGAAAAATCACATGCTGCTTAGAATATCCAGTAGCACATATTGTAATAGAGAAGTAATCAGTTGTGTGCATTGTATGTGGTCCTAATTTTATGACTGATTGGTGTAAATAGGTGCCAACACTAAACCTTATTGATATATTTTGTCATTTGAGGAAGCCATCTAAATGATTAGCATTATAAAACATATCTTGCCTTCTATAACAAAAAATAAAAAGTTTTCACACCTCCATAGAAGAAAAGTACATCTTGGAAGACACCTAATTCATAGAAAGCAGATTACTTCCTGGAAAATTCTTAACCTCATTCTAGAAAATGTGTCAAATTTCCCAGGAAAGCATCAAAGGAATATGTTGTAATTTCTATGTAAATTTATCTAACACATAAAAAAAGCACCTGCTAACACTATCTGTAAGATCTGCAAAAAAAAATAAAAAAAACAACTGAAACATTAACCTCAAGAAAGAATGAAATAAATTTTACATTTACCCATGAAAATTCAAAAGCTTTACTTTCTACAGAAGCTGAGGTGAAGCAGAGATTGATGGGGGTGCACCTGACCTGTTGTATTATACATTTTATGATAAAATTAGTGATTGGCAGATTAAAATACATTTGTTTTTTTATTAGTTAAGTCTTCTGTTTCTAATAGAGTTTGAGACAGAATATATTTAGCGAATAACATTTTTAACAGTCAGTGAAGGGAATAATTGTATTGCTTTTTAACATTTATGATGTAATATTCATCCTTACCACTAGATGTCCGTGTTCACTTAAATGATGCGGCCAGGAATAAAATTTCTCCCCTTTTTCCATCTTTGAGAGCGTCATAAAGTTACACGTTATAGTTCAATTCAAAGCTAAACTGCTTTAATATTTCTGAAAATTTTATAGCACATTTACTGAGTGTGATAAAGAAATATATTTTATTCTCTTTTTAAAGGATTGATTTGGATTGATTACAACTGATATTTGTTTTAAAAGAAAGATTACTTTGTTCATATGCTGCGGTTGTTTTCTTCTAGCCATGCACAAACGAAAAAAAAAACGTATGATGAATTGAATTTAAAGATAATACTTTCATTTTCGTGTTCTGTGTCATTCTTAATCATTCCATTACATCTAAAAAAAAAAAAAAAAAAAAAAAAAAAAAAAAAAAAAAAAAGCTTCCTTTTTGGTGAGTTTAAATCAAACCATCTTGCCAAGTTGCCTGAAGTCATACAATCCCATTCTGAATAGTGAAGATAAAGTGAGTTTATGTTGTGAAATTATGTTCATCTGCATTATGAGCTTTCTGTTTCTGTTTCTGTTTAAGACAGAAATTATATTTCCCTAAGAGTGCCCTCAAGTGGCTGGATAATATTTAGTAGAATATTTAGCAACAGTGGGATACAATGTCTAACTATCAATAATTTTGTTAATCTAATGTTGGATAGGATTTATGTACTAAAATAGTCATTTCAGGGCTGAATAAAAGCTCAGATCAACCTTTATCAGCCTTATCATTCTTTGAAAGGAGCAAATTAATAATCTTAAATAAGCCTACAGAGAGAAACATAGAAATTGATCAGACATTTAGAAAAGGTACTGCAAAGAACAATTAAACCATAGTTATCAAAAATGTGTTATTCATTATTCGTTATTCCGATGTTAAAAGCCTATTTAAATTGTATATTATATAATTTTAGGGTAGCATTATGTGGATTATTATTCACATCAAATGTTTGAAAACTTTTGTGCTTTAAAGAAAAAGTTTTGGGAAGTGATCATCTGATTTTAAATATCTAAAAAGGATCTAGAGAAGCTGAGAAGTTACAGCTTTGCAAGTCAGGAAAATGTAGTAAATTATGATAAAAGATCCACCAGTAAAGTTCCTCATCTCTTTAGGCTGCATCACACAGATGGGTCTGTTGCACACTTCTCCCCCTCTTCTGTCTGTTTGATCTGAACTGGGACAACAATCTCGTTGCTCGGGTTGTTGAGAGGTGTGCCAGAGACAGGAGTCTCCACGTATAGGACTCCATCAGACAGCGCTGAACTGATGTGCTGCAAATCTGCCCCCTGTGGCAACCTTTAATGAAGATAAATAGATACATAACACAGTAAGCAAATATATCAAATGTTTTTTAAGGTTAAGCTGTTAAAGTAATCTTCATCTAAGAATATATCGATATACAGACAGAAAGTCATTGTATCAATGCTGCAGAATCTACCTCTTTCACTCTGTGGGTTGCTTACTCCCTCCCTTGTTCTCAAAATTACAAAAGTTATGTAGTACGGTCTGATTTTTTACATTGGTTTAATTTTTTTCAGACAACTTACTTGTATTTACGACTGAAGCACCTTTTAACCACTCCATGCTCATCCTGCCTTTCTTCATGAGTTCCTTGACAACAAACATTTTTTTTTTTTTTTTATAGAATGTTAGCACACAAAATCCTCAAAAATACAAAATATTTTGTTGCATATTTGCTCCATTTCCACATACTTGTAACTGTAAATCCATTAAGAACAAGGTGCCTTACCTGATATCTGTAAGTACCCATCCTTGGTTGTGATCATTATCTCTTCTGGTAAGAAGCGATGGACATCTAGAGAAATTTTCCAGCTATTCTGATCAGTTTGCATCTCTGACACACCAGTTGTTAGTTGTGTCGATTTCTTTTTGTCCTGCTCATCGCGCGGCTGGCTGATAAACGGAGGCAGAAGTGGGGACTGTGTGAATCCCGGCCAAGAGACGGATGCTAGCCTCTTTTTTGCCCAGTCAAGCCAGTCGAGGTCACTGGGCTCCAGGAAAGGAGGGAGCCCGAAATCTTGAGCAAAGATACGGCTTGGCTGGGTCCAGTTCGGGAAAGATTCCCAGGCCACATCTCTGCGGAAGATGGGCCGGGATAAAAGTTTGTTTTGCTCATCCATGTCCTTAAAAATAAGCTCAGGGACAAAGAACAGGGGTGTTTGAAGTGAAACTCCTTTTGCTCCCCGATGAGACCAACAAGTGTAGGAACTGAATCACTGAACCACAGAGCAGCTGTAGGTTATTGCTCACATGTAACAACAAGTGAGGAGGACGTCCGAGGAAGAAACTACTCTGCAGTGCTGGGTACACACACTTTATATATGCGGCTGATTAAATGTATCACTTGCACAGTAGAAGATGTGATGTAAGACATGAGAATGGCTTGATATACGATGAGTAAGTGATGGCCCTCTGTTGCCCCGGGACATAGAGAGGACAATGCTAATCATTCGTATTTATAACTCTTGACTCTTACTGTTATGACTCTGGAAGCAGCAAGCAGCAAGCAGCCTGTTTATTCAGCTCTGGCCTCTGCAGTCTTGTCACATACTGGTGCTCTTTGTCCACAGAAACCACTGCAGTCTGTTATGTGAGGGAACAGCAGCTCATTTAAAGTCGCACAGTTAACAAGGGAGTTACTTCCAGTCACCACACTTAAGACTGAACTAAAAGGGCAAAACAAAATGATCTCATTGTAAATAGGTAAGAAGAAGGAAACCCAAACACAGGCACAAGATGTGCTTACAGCTCAGACAATGTGATGGATGGAGGGAATGGTGAATTCAGGTATCGGTGAGGAATTTCACAGCTGCATCTTTGTTGATGACGAGTTGTTTAAGTAATGAAGCAACTATCTGCTGGTTATATCATGCCTTTCGAGAGGGAGGTTTTCTCAGTTATGTTCAAATATAAAATCAGATAAAATGTGAGTATTTATCTGCTAAACAAATTCAGTAAAGCAACATGCAGAATTTTAGATTTATTATATTGTTTAATATATATAAGTTTGTGTCCTGTTGTTTGTTTAAGACAAAACACTGCAGTACGAGCTATCTTTTTGAATGCATAAGTTATTTAATATTTATGTTTGTGAACTATACAGAACGCAGGACTTTAACAGTTAAAAGTTATTTTTCAAGTTTAGGGAAGTGTTTTGTTTCCTGGCACAAATAGCAACTCATGCTGTTAGGTGATTGAGGGAAAAGGCCTTATCTTTCCACTATACACATCTCTTTTGGTGTTTTGTGTTTTTTTGGCTCTAGTTAAATAGTCAGATTACCGTTTTTTTTTTTTTAAACCCACAAAGCTAATACATGATATAGAGACAGCTTTAGATATTGTCAGAGCTGCTAACAAGGGGGGAAATTAAAGCAAAGATAGCTCAAAAATTTTATTTAAATAATTCAGTCAGATGTATGAAAGGTTTGTTATAAAGGATCACATCATCAGCGTACAATATCTTTCCTCTAATAATCTATGTTGAAAAAGTTTTGTTTCAACATATGAACGATGACCAGCCCCTTTGCTGTCTCCCACGGATGCTTCTACGTGTGTTCTAGAGATGTTTTCATGACATCCCTATAAATGCAAGCTGCGGAAGAACCACAGTGCTGGTATTATTGGATCCTAATGTAAAAGTTATTATTGATCACTCTTTTTTATTTGAGTTCAGTATTTCTGGTAGAGGACTGGACTACTTTAAATCCTTCTTGAAGGTTAACGACTTATTTGTGCAGTGGGAAATTTTACATCAGAAGCCACTAAAATTACATATGGCGTTCCCCAAGGGTCGATCTTAGGGCCCCCTGCTATCCAAATGCTTCTGCTAACTCATTTACTAATAAGCAAAAACATAAGACACTTTAATCACGCAGATTACACACAGCTATACATTACAATGTCATCAGGTGACTATGACACATTAAAGAATTCAACACAAGTAAATGCCAAAATATTCTTGAGTTGAAACTATTTACAACTGGAATGGAAGTTTTTGGACCAAAAGAAGAATGTTCAAATGTTTGTGCAATGCTTCACTTATTACAACTGGGAACCATCAATCAGGCTTTCCTGAGGTAGTGATGGACTCATACCTGAAGAGTCGAAGGCACATGATGACAGTAAAAAGTCAGCTTTCCATCAACTACAGAACATCTCAAGGATGAAAGGACGGATGTCTCAGCATACCCTTGAAAAAATAATCAATGCACTCATCTTTATTAAAATGTGTTACTGGAAAGGTGTTTCACAGGTCTGTTTATAAAGTTGATCAAACAGCTGTAGATTCTGCCCCCCTCCTCAAAATAACAAAGAAAAGTCATTACACTAGCTCACTGTTTCTCAGAAAATATACCAAATCTCAATCTGAAAAACTCACAAGAAGATAAAAGACAATTAGGAGAAATGTATTGATACAATTACTTTGTCTTTGGCACTCAGACCTCGGCAGGATACATGGCGTTTAATTTTGATAGATATGCATGAACAGGAGCAAAGAATAGGGCTTCTCCCCCCCCAGGCCTGAAACTGGTGGTGGAGTGGAGATAGATGAAGTTGGTCAGTCTGTAGATTGCTGATTAGCCAGACAGTATACTGAGCTTTATGTGGAGATCCAGTGGACTGCATGAGCTGATACTAGAGCTTCACTCTGGGACCTGGAAGATGGAAGTCCGGTTGGATAACACAGGTTGAGAGAACCTGTCCATGATGAGCAAGCATGAAGCCACAGTGGAGAGGAAAAACTCCCCGTTAGGAGGAAACCTACAGCAGAACCAGGCTCAACAGGGTGGTCTTCTTCCGGAACGGTTAAGATGAGACAGGGAACGCAGTAAGAGTCCAAGAGAAATGGCACTCTTATGAAGCTTAAGCTACAATGGTGGAGGAGGGGCTGGAGGTGGGTTGAAACTGTGTCATTTCAATTAAGTCAAACAGCGCATCCACCGACTGCGCCTAGAGCAGACAGTGAAGATCAGAGGCCTTTTAAGATGAACTTTGGATGTCGATTGGTTTTCGTGGAGGTGTGGTTCAAAGCTGATTGGCTGTGTCGCAGGTGGATGTAGGAGAGAAATGAGTTTCTTCAGTTAAACCTTTGCCTAGGCTCCATTACAGAATTGCGGTCAATCTATCAAGAGCACACCCAAGTATTATGGCTCATATCTACCACTACGTGTACACACAACGAGAACTAAACATGACCAATCAGCTTTTAGTTCTAACAATGCACTAATCTGGAATAAACTTCTAGAAAATTTTAAAAGCACTGAAACCCTCAGTTTCATTAAATCGAGATTAAAAAACATATTTGTTTAGAGTGGTCTTTGACGGTGCAATCTAAATATGATTAGTTTTTCCTGAAGCTCCCCTTTAATTTTCCTGTGAATAATTCCATTGTTTTCAAAAATTATATTCTTATTTTTTTTCTCTTATACTGCACTTTGAATTGTCATGCAACTGAAACAAACAAGTAAACCTGCCTTGCCTTTCCTCGCCCCTACGTAACCTATATTCATCTCCATGTTTTATGATAATAAACAACCCCCAAGGCCTAAAAAAGACTAATTGCTTTGCAGGAAAATCCATAGATGATTGCTGTGTGTTGTTTTAATGTGTGGATCCTGTTTTGATGACAAAAAGCAGATCAAACAGACATGAAGCAGCTTTATTGTCAAGGTGCATAGAATATTTCAAGTGTACAAGTTCTACAAGTAGTTACACAAATCCAACAATCCAAAGTCCACTCAAATCATTAACACCTCAGTCCACACATTGTGCTAATCATCTAAATGAGCAGCTGTATTAACTCTGAGTTCAACACTGAAAAGCTTTACTAAAGTAGCTTTATGATCAATAAATTTATTTTTTCTTTTTAAACAAAGCTATTTATACGTAGAGAAAAACATCTATGATACAAAAATACAGACCTTAGTGCAAGACAACATTAGCTGTTATCATTCTTTTGCAGGTGTTTTAAAAAAAAACAATACACAGGCCTACAATTAAACCTTCCCTTGTATCCTTTGTCTGCCTACTGAAAAAATATCAATACCTTTTATAGCTTCTTACCACAAATGCCTTTATCTGATAAAACAAATGTGTTTATCTTTTATGACCATCACATTTTCAATCATAATAAAAATTCATGTCATCCAGGATTTAAGTTAGGAGTCATTGCTTCTTCTATCTTCCTCTGAATCTTCTTGTTTTCTAAAAGAGAAAGTGATACAAAATAAGAATTATGAATTAGACTTAGACAACTTTTATTGACATTTTGACTCTGTGTATACAAAACAAAAGTTTTTTTAGTACAGCTTTCCAGACAGTAAAAATAAAATTTCCATTCTATACAATGCAGCAGTGATCAAACATAAATAGTGTGGGAGAACAAAAAAAAAAAAAACCCAAAACATGGTGCAATGAACAAGGGAAAAACTAAAAATGATACAAATGATTGATGCACTGGGGGTTTTAAGAAAAATTTAAGTGTATTACCTTTTGTGTTTTCTTAACTGAAGAATAATCAGCGTAAGGATTACAACTAATGTCAGGGCTCCAATGACTGAACCGGCCACTATTCCAGCAATGTTACCTGAAACACAACAAAGATTTACAATATTTTACCAGATGGTCTCTCATAGGGCTGAAAAAAATTATATTAAACACAACAAACATTACCCATCTCCACTTATCAACCATAAAGCCTTTTATTTGTTTCCAGTAAGTGTTGAGAAAAAATAATATATGATAACTGTGTCTAAAGATTTTATGCAGAGGAACCATGGACAAAGTTACAGTAAGACAACTGTGGTTCTCACATTTTTGTAAGATTATGAATGATTTGATTAACTCCCACTCTCAATCCAGCTAATATGCAGGTAGGGTGTCCATAGGATATGCTAATAGGACATTTTAGTCAAACTGAGCTGTTTTCATTTAAAAATCCCATAATAAAGCCCTTTAGCCTGTGAAGCACTCTGTGAAAAGTGCTATACAAATGCATTTTACTTACTTACTTCACACTCAGTATCAAATGAGCCTGAGTAACCCATTTTTTTTTTGTTTCAGAAGCAAACTGCCTAAAAGTCTGGGATGATATTAGTCAGCTTTAATATGATCCAATTTTACATATGCAAACAACCAATCTAAGCCAAATTATATGGGCATTATATCCAGAGATGGGAAGTAACGAAGTACAAATACTTCGTTACTGTACTCAAGTAGATTTTTCTGATATTTTTACTTTACTTCACTAATTATTTTTATGGCGACTTTTTACTTCTACTCCTTACATTTTTACACAAATATCTGTACTTTCTACTCCTTACATTTTAAAAAATTGGCTCGTTACTTTAGTTTTGAATCATTTCAATGGAGTTACCGTCATTATTATTTTTCACGTCATCAATACCAAATTCAATCTAATTGGATGGGAATCTACGTTGCATTTGACGCACCACTACAAGATGAATCGACAGATTCGGCGGTATTCATTGGCGGCAAATCATTGCAGCTTGGTGGCGGTGGCGTTAGCATAGTAGCATGGACGACGAGATGATTGAAAATGAACACAACGGAGATCTAGTCCTATTGGCAGACATCCATTTAAAATGTAGGCAACGGCATGAAAAAAGTGGTTTCTACTTTTACTTTTATACTTTAAGTAAATTTATAAGCCTGTACTTTGTTACTTTTACTTGAGTAAAGAAGTTTAATCAGTACTTCCACTTTTACCAGAGTATTTTTTAACACAAGTATCTGTACTTTTACTTAAGTACGGAAAGTGAGTACTTTTGCCATCTCTGATTATATCCCCAGCACATCAGGATAACTTGTGTGTTAAAATGTTCCAGTTGCATGCTTCAGAGGCCTGAATATACAGTAGCTTCGGGACTCTATGGCTAGCAGCAGAAATTTGATTTGATTGCATTCAGTTTAATTTCAATTCATTCAATACTTTTTGATTGTTATTTTGATTGATAATTTGATTTAATTGAATATTAATCCAATCCACTTTATTTATATAGCATATTTAACAACATAAAATGTGCTTTACATAAAAACAAACAAAAACCCCAACACAAAAAAACTGCAGTAAGAGTTTAAAATTAATAAATAAATTAAAAGGACTCAGAGGACCACACAACAATGGGCTGTTAAAAGCCAAAAAGTAAAAGTGGGTCTTAAGACAAGACTTAAAACAATCCACTGTAGAGGCTGTTTGTATATGGAGGGGCAAAGTCTGGGGCCAACTACCGTACATAAATTGTCCAGGTCCCTGGTTTTATGCCTAAACTTAGGCACTTCTAGATGAAGATGGCGCTCACACCTCAGAGCATGTGCTGGAGAGTTAATCTGGAGGAGGTTGGTAATATATTGAGGAGTCCCTTGTATTTATATTGTATTTATGTCCCTATATTAAAAAAACGCCTATGTATAGTTAGCAATCAGAATATACTGGAAAGGTCCCAGAGTCAGGAATAAAGATATTAGTCATGTTTCTACGATCAATTGTGTGTGTGAAACCCGCTCTACTGCAATGTGATGTGGCAGCCCACAATTTCAAGAATTGTTAAAACTGTAGAAAAACATTTATTTTAAAAGCGCCACTTAAAAATCCACTTGGCTTAGACCAATAATATCTACATAACCACATTTTCAGACGTCTTTTTAAAACACATGATACCTGTATGGTTATTTGTGTGCAAAAGCATTTCACAAACAGTCTTCAGTCTAGGTAAAAAGGAAGCTCTCCAACAAGTTCTACAATTCAGCAGAAATAAAAACAGTTTAAGTCAACTTTAATAACCCTAGTTATAGAAAAAATAAAGCTCATATGCCAGTTCTTCTTTAATTGTATTAGTTTGACCTTTTTCTCTAATTAAACAATAAACTTGCATTAAAATATTTTTTGGTAAGTATTGCATGAGGTGGATACCATGAAATAGCATAAGGCTTTTTTTAAAGACCAAAAATCTTCTGTAGGGGCAAGTAAGCTCTGATACAGATCTAGTCAGGAAATGTAACAAAAATCCTTTGGAGAAATGCAGGAAAGTAGTGATGATTTTTCCCCCAATATTTTTTCAATCAGTTTCTGATTTAAGGAAATCAATCATGGAGACTGCAGACCTTTCATACAAAGCAAACATATTGATTGGAAAAGTACAAATAGTAAAAGAAAATTCAGAATCAAACACATGTATAGACACTGGCTTGTTGATTTATAAAAATCACAGTTTTAATGTTCATTGATTTTTTTATTTTTATTAGTTGTTCATACTGGGAACCACGCAGCTTGGATCTTCTCCGGACCATTTGCCATTGCTCTGGCATGTACGTTCTTCTGATCCTCTAAGCTTGTAGCCTTTATCACAAGAAAACTGCACCTTAGCTCCCTGTGTATAGGTGGTACCCATCTTTTCCCCATTATCAGGTGGTGGGATCCATCCACAAGATATCACTGCAAAAAACAATAACAAACACAGCGACACAAAGTTGAACATAAATGTATAAATCTCCCAGATTCCTTAATAGAAATCATACCAGGCTTCAGATCCTCCACCAGAGAAACGTGACTCTGGAAGGAAACTCTGGTAGCATTTCCAATCACGGGGCTACGTCCTACGAGGATGTCATACCTGCATTAAAATATAAAACATTTATGAAGCAATTCCTAAACATTTAGCCATTAGAAAGAAGTGATTCTTACTTTAAGTAATCAGTATAAACAAGACAGTACAGAACCAGCCAGCTGGCCTAAAGCTCTATAGTTCTTGAAACTACATAAAAAAGGTACCAAATGTAAACTTAGCAAATGAGATCACAGATAGGTGGTTTTACAAAATAACTGATTTTGGTTTTATCTAGGCTGGAGTCACTTTGTGTTTATTGGTCTGTATGGCCAAATTAGTGTTAAATAACAAACAACAAATAACTTTTTTAACAGTGACAGTTTTCAAGGGATTACTCTTTTTTTATGGACTTATGTTATATTTTTATAAGTACTTCATATTTTACCTGGAATAGTTAACTTTCCTATTGCCTTTATTCAATATAAAGTTTTAGAATCTTATTTAATCAAGGATAACAGCTAGTATGAGGGGCTAAGACCAAAGTGGTTTCTGTACTCCAGTTTAGAAACATTTGCAGTGTTTTAAGTTGACAGAGTTTTACAAACCTTTCAAACTGTGTCTTGTTAGCATTTGGTATTTATTACAAGATATTGAATAATAAATAACAACCAAAATTAATAACACAAAAAAGGGGCTTTTGTGTTGGCCCCTCTGAAAGCATGTCTTACTGGTTTCTTGCAGTTTTTACATCGTTGAGATTTTTTTATTTTCTGAAATCCAGCATGAAAATGAGATTCTACCTCTATCCATTTTTAAAATGGAAATTTTTTTCTATGTGATTTGGTCAACCCTTATTTAGGTGTATTATTGGCTCAGAGAGGAATTTCAAAACAACTTGTGGTCATTATGTGAAAAATAGCAAATGTAATATACATTAAAATTGTTTTAGTTGGGCTATGGAGGATTTTCCTAACCAAAATGGACCCCACATTAAAATTTGCCCAGGGCCCACTGCAACCTGTCTCTGCTGTTGTGTTTTAAACAGAATGCCTTTGCTTGTTTCTCCTTCCTACCTACAGAACTGAGATCCCTCTCCGGAGCATATTTCAGCTGCCTGATTGTTCAGTGGATCATCCAGATTTTCAGGAACAGTAAATACTGGAAGAAAACTTGGATCATGTCTTGGAGCAAAGTAGTAGGTGTTCAGAAGATATTCTGAATCATATGTAAACAAAGCAGAGTTGTTCTGTATCGCCCCTGGAGAGAGAAAAATAAATACTTCATTAAAAGTTAAATGCAATAAACTCCCAGTCACTTAACTTAGGGGGAGAAATCATATCGATTGACACAGGATGAAATCTAATAAAAACACTGCAGACATCCTTTTAATTATTGCTTTTTCATGGTGTTTAGGTTCTAGTAATTTAAGTTATGTAATTTCATATATTGGACAAAATAAAACATATAAATGGTGATTTCTTACAGCTCGCCCCAAAGTTGAACAGCTCTTCTGCATCACTGTGATTCTGAAATAGCTTTCCGTTGGGTAGGGCTAGGTCATCATTAGGGTCACCATTCATCTTTCCCAACAATCCAAGAGTGGAGCCTTTAAATTCCTCTGGCAGGAGCACGGTGGTGGTCATAGTTTCTCCCCTATGTCGCACTTCCACCCCAGCTCCAGATGGAAACATTACAGTGACATTTATAGAGGTGGGAGAAAACACGAACACTCCTGCAAAATATTTGTTAAGAAGAGAGAGAAAACAGCAAATGCTGTGCAAAACTGAAATGTTTTTTGGTTTCAAATAAGCGGTCAATTGAATAAAAGAAAAAGACTGTCAGTGATGGTGCCTTTGAAGAGAAAAATGATGGTAACACAGAATTCAAGGGTCCAAAACTAAATTATTCTCTTTTTTTTTACAATAAAACCTTTGATCAAATCAGTGGAATCTCACCTTGTAAATCCATCCAGGTCTGCTCCGCGAAGGAGAGGATTTGCTGATTACGCAGCACTTCAAGGCCATCCTTTCTGATATCAAGCCGCACCTCAATGATGTCTGATGACCCTTCTCTCATAGCTACAGACGTCAGCCTTGTTGCCTTGATCGTCGCTCCTGAATCTAGTGATATCCAAAAAGATAAAAACAAACAGATGTTTATTTGCTTTCCTTACTTTATGATTTACTCTGCATTGTTGGCAAAAGCTTCATATCTCACCCTTCACAGGCTCGGTTCTGCCTTGGACTGTCAGCTGTTTCTCCTCTGATGTGACCAAAGTGTATTCCCCTTTGCCATTGAACGAGTAGCTGACACCATCAAAGGTTATAAAGTGTGGATCTCCAAACACTATAGCTGATATTTAACCAAAACATAAGCATAAACACATTCGAATCATCCCATAAAGGAACCAAAACAAAATGTACCTGAGCTTGGCGACTGGTAGCGCCTGCAGTCACTGGAGGGCCGGTGTTTAAAGTAGTAGTGGCAGTTGTCAGACCAAAGGCAGCAGTAATAGAAGCTGAGAACGTCATAAACCCAGTGGGATTGGCCGGGGATCCGAGGAGGTTTTTTAAATGGAGGTGACCCCCAGTCATGAGCCCGGTCTGGAGTACTACCCCCTATCGAGTCTGCTGTGAGCACCTGAGCGCCTGTGCTGTCATAGCAACACTGCTGTCCTGCAGCATATTTAGGACTGGGGAAATGAAACCCCAGGTAGGGAAAGCTTAGGGTTAGGGTTAGGTAAGTAGGTAAATACTCACTGAGAACCAGAAACCAAAGCATCCATGAACAGAACATGCTCAGATATATGTTGCATTTACTGGGACTCACCTGGCTTTTATCGCTCTTACACAGTGAACACTCCCAGGATGATATGTGCACACACTCCCTTTCTCTATATCACAGCCGTAATCAGTCTGAGGAATGCAGAGGAGATCTAGAGTTAACGACCAAACAGGGATTGAATTTATTCTATATTTCAACAATCACCTGAAGCTCAAAGCTTTAAACCAAATAGGTTTTGTTATTTCACTTGGTAAACTACATATGAAAAGAAATGACACAGTTTTATGGTTTTATAACAACAGAAATAATTTTATGGTTTTAAACCCTGTAGTCTACATGTTACATCAGACAGCCTGTTGCTTGTATAGGGCTCATAAATTCTGTAATTTGATGGGTGCATTTTCTTTACTTTGAACTGGTTGCTATCATAAACAGATCAACTAATTACAGATTCATCTTGACCATAAATTTAAATTCCAACACTTGGATAAATTCACCAGCTCTTTGAACCAGTTTTAAAAAACTCACAATCTGCTCTTGTTGTACCCTTATTTTGTTCAGGTAATATTTAATGTTGCTACCAGTGATTGTACCCTTATCCGAACATCTCATCTTCACCTACATGAAACCTCCCTGTGTCTGCTCTTGCTTGAGCCAGAGTGCATGGGCAGTCGATGACCTCAGTGAGGAAGTTTGGCAGCTCACTTTCCAGTTGATCCCAGGCTAAACACTTATCCAGAGCCCACCCTGATGAGTTTTGTCTGAAACTTTCCTCTAGATGCCAGGCCAGAGCATGATCCTCACTCCATGCAGCTTGGACATTCCTGAATAAAACACATTAAAGTGCAGAACTTACACTAGAGGTCATGGATAATTGTCTTTGACTTCTGAAGTGCAAATGTGAAAAAAATTAACTTGATTCTTGAAGCAGTTTTATTGGAGTATCTGTACTTACCAACTGCCATCAGGGTAGCTGCTTGAGCTGACACGAACAGCACCCAGCTCCCAATTTGAGAAGCCATCCGGGGCTATTTTGGGCAAAAAGCTAAAGGAGCCACTGTTGGGGTGATCTTTGGCAAGGGAATAAAGAAAGTGCCACTCACCCTGCCAGTACTCAGAGTATGGCTCTCCTGTAGAAAAACATTTTCTAATTTAAGTCTTTTCTTAATTGCAATGACCATGTTAAAGATGAAAAAAAATAATAACAATATAAGAGCAAGAGGGATTGAAAACATTTTAAAGCTCTGTAATTCTTTAAGTGAATGAAAATATTTCTTACCTGTCTCTCTGTATCCCCAGAGCTCTAGGTTAACTTTTTCTGCATTAACTAAAGTTGTATTCCACGTCATCTTTAAATCCCCTCCAACGTTAGGGGTTCCATAGTACTGCCACTTTGTTGAATTCACCAAAATAGCTTTAAATCGAGAATCCAACTTGCCAGTGTGAACTGCAGCAGCACATACAGATCGGGCAAAACAAACAAACTTTTAACAGGCAAAGTTTTTATTTGAAATGTTTTGCATTGAGCTGAAGTACCTGAAAGCCAAGATCCTGCCCTGTTGAAGGTGGTACCATTATCTGAGGAGATATGCAAGGAAACCCATCCAGTTTGGTATAACAGTGGGGAAATGCAATGGCCCCTTCCATCTTCATCCACGTACCCTACTGTGTTAGTTTTACTATCAAACCTGCCGATCAGAAGGGAATGATCATATTTTTATTTTTTTTATTTTTTTACTCCAGTTTTAAATTTAAATGAAAATATTTGGGGACAGAAAAATATCCTACCTACAAACAATGTGGGAGCTCTTGTTGAAAGTTGCATCAAGGACAACGAAGTCTGTCCCACCCATTATGGTCCCGGAGCACGGAGAAGTATTTACACAGAACTCTTTGTAGTCAGAGCAGCAGGACCCAAGAGACCCACATGTCGGGTGGCAGGAGCAGGAGACCATTTTCTTCCCACAATTCTCTTCACATGTCTCTCCTTTCCAAAAGAAAAAAGAAAATCTGAGATACATGGCAAATTCACTGTGTTTACAACTAGCCAGTCAGACTGGCTTTGCAGGGTGCTACGTATAAAAAAAAAAGTACATTTTAAACTTAAGTATCAAAGTGGTTTCCATTATTAGAGCTGGAATGTTTTTGGGTGCACAGATTTATAAGACTGCATAGAGTCTGGTCTCTGTGCTAAAAGCATCAAGATTGCACAGGTCCGGACTTTGAACCGCTGACTGGACAAATAACTAATCTAAAACATGATGTGTTCACTAAATGTTAAAGTTTTCTGCCAACAAACATTTGATTGATTATCCAATATTTACCTCCCCAAAATATTGATGTTTAATCTTTAAACCTGATAATTGTAAATCTGTGTAATGACAGCGCACAAAATTCAATTATTCTAACAAATGCTGTAAACTATAAGATGACCTATAACATTGATGGAAGGTTATGTTTTTTATATTGTGTTCTACCTTTTCATTACATTGTTTTTTTCTTATAGACAGAATTCAAATCTATAAAAGCGAAGTGATTAGAACCCATGTACTGTATTTATAGGACCAATATTTATCCTGGACTTGCTGCTATTGCACTTCTGGTTAGACCTAAACTGCATTTTGTTGCCTTGTATCTGTACCTGTGCAATGACAATAAAGTTCAATCTAATCTAATGTAATTACAACAAAATTTATTTTTCTATTTACTTTTTTTATTTCTTTAGATTAGTTATTTCCCTTTTCTTGTCATAATCTTCAAGTCATTTTGTATGTGATGTTCGGTGCAGGATATTCAGTTTAATCAGCTTTTGTAGGTATTGCAGAACAGGAGTTGGTACCATAACTGGCCCCTGACCCAAGCATGTTCAAAGCTCGGTTCATCAGATTTTTTTTTTATTGAAATGTAGAACAAAGGCGTTTAGAAAATGCCTTTTCACCGTATCTGTAGTATCTCTCCAAACATCTTTTACCACCTGCCTTCTTTCCTTTTTTAATCCACATAGGCATTTTTCTTTTACATACATAGATATGTAAAAATGCATCAACATACATAAACCGGATGATGAATAAAGTGCAACTTGCCTAAAATTATATTATGCTTTTTTATGCATACTAAGCACCCAACCATGTAGCCATATTCATTAATCATTCTCATATACATCAAAATGCAAAACTAGTTGTTAACGTTTGGTTAAGTGTCTTGCCAAGAGGCACACTAACAAGAGAAAGTTGAAATGCAATCCACAACTACTTTATCCATAGGGCCACAGTTGCCTCAACCAAAGTGAACCTCAAGTAGTGAAAGATTCCCTGAGCTGTATTCTGATTTCCCAGGTGCAAAAAAATGGTCAAACTTTCATTTAGAGATAAGTCTTTCTTTTTTTAATTCATGAAAACTAAAAGTGTAATAGATATCTAAATCTATTCAGGAAACAACTTTAAGGCATCTTGTAATAAGTATTTACATTTTTTTTTCACCTATGATAACCTAACTTAGAATCAAATAATCTCATCACAAAACTCGAAAGAACTGAATTAAAGACATAATCCTTAACGATACCCATAATGTAGAGGTTACTTGCCTGTTGTTCTGCAGATAAATGAAAGCAGGAAGATAAATATTGCAGTTCTTGATCTTCTCATCCTGACAGAGTTCGATTTTCAGCTCCTCTTTCTACTCTTACAGTATTTGTACCATGCTGTTGCTTCTAAACCTTGGACCTCTGATGACCTATATTTATGCACACTCTTGTTAATCACTAACTATGAATGATCAGAGCAAAATATTCAGCTCCATACTCAAGTGTAATTTTGACCTTCTCCTGTTTTGATAAACTCTAAACCTGTAAAAATGTAAGATAAGCGCTTTGTGTTAGATATGATAATGAAATATGCTGACGTATGCAGAGGAATTTATCTGAAACCAAGAGTAATAAACACTGATAAACTAATATCTGATTGTATGAGCATCAACATTTACTACCACAGTAGTACTATCAGTATTTTGTGAACTTTATGGTCTGAAACACGTCGAGTTTTTTAAAGAGATGTATGTGAGAAATGCATTGAAATCTATATCAGTCTTGAATTAGTTAAAAGAAGAAATAAACTACCTTAACACATGCTGCACTGACATGACAGCATGCTATAGTAAAATGTGGCCATATTTCAGTATTGAATTTCATTCCAACACATACTCAAACATTTTTCATATATATTATAGCCCAAACAGGAACCTTATTGCTTGACTGACTTCAGTGAATCCGGATTTAGTCAGGTATCAAAGTAAAGAGGCCACATTGATAATGTAGCAGCCTAGCCTGGGTGCCAGTCCGAACTTAGTCCCGCCCACAAGGTTTGAGTTCGGGGAAGTTCGGTCTGGCTATGCTCCATAGTAGCGCGAGTATTAAAGCCCACTGTCAGGCGATCCAATCAAATTGTCAGGGCGGGCTTTATACGATGATGGACAGATGATCAAGAGTAACGTTATCAACCATGTGACCAAAGCGCGCTTGGGTGACAACAATAATGGCTGCCGCTGGAGAGTTTGGGTGAGTAGATTCTGCTATTAGGTCTGTTCTAGAAGATATCGACAGCAAATTAATTTTAAAAGAGGAACAGAGAAACGCGATCAAGGCTCATCTTCTTATTCTAGGCGTGCAACTGCACGCTTTGATTTTTGTGGACAACAACTATGCCTCGCTTAAGATACGTCACGCACTCCATTGCTCTTATTGGTTGTAGGTCTATCCAATTGAGTGCAGAGGCATTTTTTCCTGGTTCGTTCGAAACACGCCCCATAATCACAGCTCTATGGAGCAGTATCAGACTCATATTCTGACTAGAATTGAGTCGGACTACGTCAGGCTAGTAGCAGCCTGTGTCAGTAGCTGTTTTTCCATTAGAAATCTGCACAAATCTATGTTGAAATTCTGACAATTTTTAAAATGCAAATTTCCGCAATTGGGGTATTGCTAAAAATTTGAAATACAGTTGAAATTGCACGTGAATACGTTTGTTTACATGATAAATCTTGAACATCAACATGGCAGTAGATGTAATTACTTGTGTGAAATACATCCATATTTCAGTCACAGCTCATTAGTAGTCCAACTTCTTCCTGTCTACTTCTGATTTTATTGTACAAACTAGTAATCAGAACCTCAAGGTCCATTTGCTTATCATGTGACATGCGTGATGTGAAAGAAGTGTTTCCATTGCAGTTTTGTGAAATGATAGAACACCCCCCATCAAAAAACGTGTTGTTTTTTTTCTTGATTGCAGTATTTCCATTTAACACATTTATTTTCATAGTTAAATTTTTGATGGTTAATGGAAACACACCTAATGTGACATTTAACCACTTGGAGTACCTATGTGTTTGTGGGAGAAAGTGTGTATGTCTTGTACATGGCCTGGTGAGCATATGTGTGGAAATAAGTGCATTTATGATGAGTAAGTATACTTAAGTGGCAGGTTGTCACTTGGATGTGTGCATTTCTTATTGAAGCGAGGATGGTAAAAGAAGGATCCCTGGTATTTAAGAGTTCTACGGGTAGATAGACCAGATTCTGTAATGCTGCAGTCCCAGGCAACAAGACACAAAGCATTATCCAGGACAGCAATGCACCCTGCTCAGAAGTAAGTTACTAGCAAGGCACAGGATCAGCAGTCAGCAGACAAAGGAGACACGGAGCAAGACACAGGACAGCAAAGCACCCTCACTCAGCAACAGAATCTATCCTATCTGTGAGCCTTCACCTCTAGTCCACTGAGCCCCAGTTACCACGGCTCAGCTAAAAAAGATGCTCTTTGCTTAACTCTTGATAATAATGTTGTTAAAGAATCTAAGCTTTTAACCAGCTCAGTGGCTGGTTTAACTGTGGTTATGGATCAAGAAAAGATTTAGTTTATTTCAGGAAGAATCATAATTTCATTTGCAGGCAGTCCTTCCCTCTCTATGAATGACAGAGGGAGAGTTTTCAACTGTGCATGGTCTTCCAGTGTCAATTTGAGTCACATGGTATGAGTAAATATTTCTAAGAGGTGAAGCTTTCCAATTAAATTTTTTGAGTGTGGGGAGGGCTAAGTGTTTCTAATTTCTACTTTCTAATCCATAAAAAAGATGCTTCTTTATTGCAAATAATTAAGTCATTTTTATAACCTTCACATTATAATAACTTCCCAAAGTGTGTCTAATCCTAACATTGTATCCCCTAGCATGATATAAAGCATTTGCCGTAGTGGTGTAAATCAAGGTACAACTGGATTATAAGCATTACAAACTTCTTCTAATGACTCCTTGTCTGATCATTCAGAGGATGAGTCTAGGTTAAACAGATGCCAGGAAAATGGACCTGTCTCATTGCAATGTCGACAGTAATGTTTGCCTTTGATTTGACTCTTGTTTGAAGCTGTTTTTGAGGAGCTGGATGTGATAGTTAAGTGCAAAAAAAGTTAAATTTTAACAGTGATGAGCAGGTTTTGTTGTGTAAGAACTTGAAAAGAGTCCTGACCTCCTACCAGGTCACTAATGAAGCCAAACGCTCTTGCTTTATGTAAAAGAAATGGAAACATCTGATGTTGTTAAGTTCCTCACTTCATGCTTTAGGTGCAGTTAGAGAGTGATAAGTGGGACAGATAACGATAGGATCAGATAAGATAAGAGTCAGAGAATTCATATTTATGGTTTTGGCACAAGACATTTAAGGATTTGTTCTTCCAGTACAACTTTATGCATAATCAGCAAATGCTCAGCAGAGGGAGCTGCTACACGTGGAATCATCACAGTAAGCAGAGGGTCTAAATAGACCAAGAGTTATTTATTGTATTTCCGCTGTAATGGTTTTCTAAACGTCAATATTCTAAGAATACATGTTTCAAAAGGTTATAACATTAAGGCGTGGCATGGTTAATTCATCTAGTGTTTAATAGATGCATATCGTAAAAGCAGCCTTTGAATAGCTTATATAGTTTGTCCTGTCCAAAAAAGATCAGGCTTATCCATGAGTTGCTCTATCTGTTGTAAAACTATCAGTGACATATGATGAACAACATTAGATTACTGTAAAAAAAAAAAAAAATGTCATAAAGGTGAAAAGCAAAAAATCTGTGTGGATAAAATCATGGTATATTTCACACATAACATGGCTGTTTATTGGGTAGTTGTATCTCTGTGGCTTCCAAGATCATCATCATCATCGACATCATTCCAGCAAAGCTTCATTTTCATCTGGATTTAGCTTTTGACGATTCCTAGAAAACAGAAGAATCTAAATGAGTTGCTTTTGTGTTTAGTTTAAAAGGTATGGATAGATGAACGCTACACTCACCACCATCAGGTGACCATTCTTTGCTCGGTAGACCATGGACTCCTGACCACTTTTGAAGTCAACGAACCCCTCCCTGCCAGGCTGGATATCAAATCTAACACTAAACACAAAAGGAAACCACAAAAATGAGGATTCCTTACAAGCACAAGAGAAAGTAATGTGATCAATATTTGTTACCTTCCCTGGACCACTTTAATAGAGCTCTGCTTGTCTGCAATAATACTGAGTTTAGTCAGAGCCTCGTAGAGGTAGTCACACTGCAGAACCAGATCTCCCTGAAACAATAAATATCATTAAGGCTCTTTACTACAGTAATTACCTTATCATTGGCTGATGATTATCTAAAATTGCAAAACAATTATTAACTACCTTTTGTTTGATATCCTCACATGTAACATGAAGAATGAGGAAGTTGTCACTCAGGTTGCTCACAGAAACTCCTAGAAAAGAGATAACTCAGTCTTTGACTCTTTTTATGTCTCATCTTTAAATTTTACGTCTGTAATCTCATAGAGTTAAGTTTACAAAACTCTAACCTGAAGCATTTATTCACAGAACAAAAAATAAGAAACAACTTTCTTTCTTTTTAGCAATGAGTAACCCAACTCTAAATGTACGCTAAAAATGTAATTAAAGCATTTTTTTATTCAAATTGTATATTTTAGGTTGGTCATAATGTTAAGAGTCTTTGAATTTCAATAAATAACTTATTTCATCTGTAGTGTAAACAAGTCATGCCACATTAACCCTTAACCAGTGTCAACTGAACTGGAAAATAATGTAAGGTTATTAAAAAAAATTTTGGAGTGGCATCTTCACCAAGTCTATAAGATAAAAAGTATCTATAGCCATCATAAATAAATTTTAATATTTTTTTAAAAGATCATTTTTATCAGTAAATCGAGTGAAACATGTCATACAGATGAATTAGGCGCTGAATGATGATTCTTGATCTTTTTTTTTTTCCATTTTAATTGTTTTCCACTCAGAGCTGATAGAAAAACACTACTTTTAACCTTTTATTGAAAGTATATTTATGTTTTTGAAAGGTTGAATTTACAAAATGTACTTTTAACCTCACAAAGGAGCCTGACTGCAGTTCATACTCATATCATTATATTTGACTGTATATGTTACATTGATGCATTTGTTTCTCTTCTACAAACATATATTACATTTTCTAAACACTGTTGGAACTTTAACTTGGATTATGTGTTTTGGTCAGATAGGACTAAAGTTTAGCTTTTTTGGTCACAGACTTATCCAGGTTAGAATGACTTCAAACAATTTATGGATACATAGAAAATTCCCCTCATGCCTCCTGCTACATACAGAGGAGGATCCGTGAGGCTTTGGCCCTGTTCTTTTTTTTAAAGGCCCTTGTAAAA